ATGATTATAATAATAAATGCCAACAAAATATTACTCAGGGGTTAAAGACACGCTCAGTGTGATGGGCTGAAACCATACCCATGCCACCTAGACTGGGAGCCATACTTTACATGCAGCTAGGCCACAGAGACAAACAATTTACTCTATGAGAACCTAGGATTTGAACATGACTTCATCGCTGCAGTAAGACTGGTGAAAACGAGGCCTAAAACCCCGACTTCATCCCCGTAGAGATTCCAAACCGTCTGCGTCACTTTCCATCACTCATTGCGTTCAGGCAAACTTATGATTCATGCAAATCTAATCGGTTATCTGAGTCCATTAAACTACAACGCATCCTCCACTGGCTACCCGATAATACAGGTAAAACTAATTAAATCACGAACTAGCAACAGCAGAATAAGTATCCCCAACTTATTACTAGATGGAGAAAGACTATACGAAGACCTGCAGGAGGTATGCGGGTCGTTCAACTTCCACTTAGCTAGCTGCTTTACTAATAAAGAAACAGTAATAATAATATGTATTTATTCCTGTTTATGCAGGAACATACCAATTGTACAGACATGGATAAGTTATTATATAAATTATACATATTTCGATGTATGCTGAATTTACAGTTTGTTTGTTCTTTCTGACATTAGAGTCAGTCGGAACAGTCTGCAAAATAGTCTGTCTGTGTAACACATAAAGAGATATAGAAATGTTGACTACGAATTAACAAAAAACCCAGAAATCAGATGAATGTAATACGAATATCTGGGAAAAATAAAGCTTGAAGTCAATTCTCCTATATAACTTTGTTGTGAACAGCATCCTTGAGTTAAAGTTTATTGATGTATTATTTTGAGGCCAGTGATGTATTTATTCCATTTTTTCAGCAGTCTTATCGTAGTTTTATAATAGGAAAGAAATTTGATCGTGGATACGAAAACTAGATAGGGTCATGTACGGTTGTTTTACTGCATGGAATGGGGCCAAGGTCGATTCCAGAACTATCCATTGGCGCCATATGTGTCAGCATGACAGACTGTACACGTAAGTTGAGTAAGACATTGAAAACTGTTTGAAAATCAGTTGCTTCTTTATTTCAGATCAAGAATACTCCCTGTACAGAATGTTGGCCAGCGTTTTCAAATTTTAGCATAGGATCGTTCATGGAATTTGATTTTGAATTTACTTAAATGGTCAGAAGCTGAGCTTCATTTCAGTTTAAATGTAGGGTTCTTCGACCTCGACCAGGAGGTGTATAGAAGTGTAGGCTCAGCAGCAGAATAGCAGAAAGAAAAAGTATGTGAACATGAGAAGAACATTAATGTTTTATGTATATATAAATGTTTATAACCATATAGTAAACATTTCCTAAATTCTAGTTGTGTTTTCATGTATTTTTGCGAAGTCTTAGAGTTTATTTAGTGTCATAATATTTAGTAGTGAGTCTAGGCGTTATAGTGTTCTAATAGCTGACGCGTTTTAGAACTAAGTGGTGCTGTCTGGTTGGGATAGTCATTGGGATGAAACAGTTTATATAGAAAGCGTTTGAATAATAGCAGTCACCCAGGGCTCTGGAGGCCGTCGTTTATTACTCCTAGGCACAAACTAGGACCAACTTCTAATATCGAGAACCACCGACCCATCAATATCACGTCAGTAGTTTCCAGGGTTATAGCAGAAGTTGTAGGGCAAGGTATTTTTTCATACCTTCACCTTTGCAAGATGTTTAACCCAATGCAACACGGCCTCCTGAAAAGCCGATCGGGCTCCACCTGTCTACTTGACTACTTTGATGATGTCACTGCTAAGCGTGATCATGGTTTGCTTGTCACAACTCCATTCTTTGATTTCAGAAAACCTTTGATAAAGTCCCACACAAGAGACTAATTCGTAAGCTAAAGTCATACGGGTTTCAAGACCCCTTGTTATCCTGGCTCAGTTCTTTCTTGGAAGATCATTCCAAAGTTTTGAAATTCTTAAATAATTACTTGTCACCCAGACCCATGCGAAGTGAAGCGATTCAAGATAGTGTACTAGGGCCATTGCTTTTCATAATTTACATTAACGACGTTTGCAGTGTAGTCGAGCATAGTACCCCATACCTCTGTGCTGACTACCTAAAGATTGTCTACAGCTTCCCCTATTCGACTCTGAATGATGGATTCACACACGTTCAAGACGATCTGGGCAGGTTACATAGCCGGAACAGTGACTGGCAACCGCCATTCAATTCTGATAAATGTGGAATCCTATATTTCAGTAACTCCCACCCGTATTTCAGGTTACACCTAGGTGACTTTTCTCCAAACCCTCAATTCTACAAAAGACTTAGGCGTTACCTACTCACAAAACGTAAAATTCAGTGAGTACGCAAAACCAGTTGTTTCTAAATACCGAAGACTCACAGGCTTGTTACTCCGAAAAATGTAAACAACTGAGGCTGGAGTCCTCTCATGCAAAGTCATGGTTCGTCCAGTACTTGAATGCTGCACAATTATTTTCGGTTTTGTGCATGGGTATGATAGGTTCCGTATTGAAAATATTCAGCGAGGCTTTACTCGATGCCCATTACACAAACATGAAGGATTGACTTTCGCGGATAGGTGCAAACAATAAACTTAAGTCACTTTGGTTAAAACACCTGAAACGTAACCTAACTTTACTGTTTTACATTTTCCACGGCTACATCAAAAGCAGTAATCCAATATATTCTCTTAGGAATCATGAACATGCGCTATCTGAGTACTGAGTAATAGAACTCAGTTCCAAAAAAAAACTGCGTTCACGTTTCAAAATACAGTATAGTGCATTATGGAATGAACTTCCACTTACTGTACGTAGTTACCGATCTCCTACTGAATTCCAGCGTTTTCTTAATGAGTTGCCATCGATAAAATTGCTTTGGTCTACTTATCCGTACTTTACCCATATAAGCTTTTCAACTAATTTTAGTACTACAGACCCCAGTGCAATACCCCAAATTTGGGGAAATTGATTTACCCCAGCCATCGTACTGCATCTAAAAGGTGATAAAACTAGCTCAGCTTTTCCTACGGTGGTTGGCCTAAGATTATTATCCTATCAATATTTCATAAAACAGGTTAACAGAGTCATGGGGCCATCTATAATTATCCAAGAACTATAATCTTAGAGTGCTTTTAAATAGGTTATTCCATAATATAAGCAAACTTGTACTTTTAATGCCTAAAGCATACCACATAAAAAGTGGTCATGAAAACTTAGCAATAATAAGCCCAGACAACCAACTATTTTCCCCAAGTTCACTCAGCCTACATTTACCCCTAACCATACCATTATTCATTGCACTCTGCTCAATGGACTATGACTTAATTTGCTCTAGTACTCAAAACTCTTACACTTTGTAAAGCCTTTTGACTAATACGTATGCAGCGACAGTGTAACAAACCCACTGATTTTCTCTTACGAGTAATCCTCAATAAGTCAGGTTAGTGTAATTATTCCTAGAAAAAATTGTACTAGCAACCATACCTCTTAATATTTTACACATATACATAATTATTACAACACTGTAATACTTTTGCGTTCAAATGAATACCTGCAGACAGTAGTTACCCATTTTCGTGTAATTATCCGAAATACATAATGTTAAAACAATATGTAGTCATTTTCCATAATATAAGTTGATGAGTCACGTTGCAATGACTTGTGCACACCATATAAATATTCCTGTTAACCAGCTGTTTTTCTCAGGATCATTCTACACAACTTTACCACTAAATGTTCCACCACTCGTATCACTCTGCTTAATAGAATATAACTTAGTTGCTATAATATTAACTCCTTCTATACCTTATAATTTTTAAGGGAAACTTGATTTACTGGTCGTTCGTAATAAACTACTTACACACATGTATACATGCATAAAGATAATATGGCTCAGAATTTTCGGAGGTATGGATGTGTCTGGTGACCTAATATCTGTTAGGAAATACGATTTTTCCGGAAATTTTGTATATTGCAAATGCAAAAGTTCTCTTCTCTGCTCCTGGTTGTCAGGAAGGGGTAGTAAGATACGTAGTTACGCATCCACCTCAAGTGATCCAAAAATGTTGATCTAGAGTTTATTTCAAATGATAACTGTTCATTAAAATCCAAGCTGATAAACAATCAGCTATATGAGGACGTAAGAACGGTTATTATGCATATAACTATCTAATTATTTAAAATCTCTTAAATACTGAGACAGTTTCAAATTTCTGACAGTAGACGATGCTGAAGAAGATTTGAATTTACGTAGCGACGACAACAACCATTGAATCCACACTACTGTGATCTTTGTTACAGCGTGGATTTAAATGGTCCGTTACTTCACCGGCTGTTATGCAGACTCAATTAAGTTTCCAAGTAAATTCTTCTGCATTTTCAGCTGAAATATTTGGAACATTTCACTATTTCACTCAAAAAATCATTTTGTCATATTATGAAGTGCTTCTTAGCATAAAAGAGGGGGTTTTGGCTGAAATATTTCCAAGTCTGCTTTTGTCATACGTAAGTATATCCATTTGTCTATTGAGAAATTCATAGAATGCTACGGTGCTCCTTATACTTATAATTTTCCTGCTGGGTCTTTCGACTTTCCTTGTCGTGAGGCATATAAAATCTCATGGTATGTTCATTCAAATATAGTTTAATATATTTACAAAGTACCACTACAAGTGCACGTCACACAAGTATCTCGAGGTTTCCGTAGAAGAGACAAAATCAGATATCATGCAATTAGATTCGGACGACGATTCAGTGAAATAACGGAGGAATTAAAGAAGGCTCGAACGAAGGAGGAGAGGAAAGCGACAATCGTTAATTTCGCAAAGAAGTAATAGTGTTGTTTTGAAACTTGACTTTTCAGAATATTCAACCTCCACGATGCTGAAAAGTATCCAGCCCTTGCATATGGGAGATTGCCGGAGTCTTTCTTCGAACCCGATGAAGAAGATGTCCATTCGTTACCAGAAGACCTTCGCTTAATGATCAGTTCAATTAGGGTTTTCGGTCACCTAGAAAAGTCGTTTTTTATAAATTTCTGCAGATTTATTGAAACGATTAATCTAAACAAGGGGGAATACCTGTTTCGCATTGGGGACGAAGACAAATGCGTTTACGTTGTTCGCAGTGGTAGGATTCAAATAACTGTTACGGAGCCAGTAAGTTCGGTATTTTGGCAAAAAATGTCAAAATTCACTTAAGAGCTTTGTTTTCATCTATTTTTCGGGTAATCAGTTAGTCAAGAATATTTTAAGTTTCACAGTAACAACTTACAAAATAGATATAAAGAAAAGAGATAAAAGGTAACCATTAATAGGTAAGTAATAAAAATCAGGAGTTTCCAGGACTAAAGCAAAAGAAGATGCAAAAGATAACACTGATTTCAACCATATCTTTCTCAAACTTTGTTTCACTACATGGCTTAAGATGTGTAATAATATCAACTCATGACGATGATATGTAGGTTAGTGATAAATGATAAACAATATAAATTATTACGGCATTAATAAAAATAGTTTAAGTATTTGAGTCAGATGACAAGGAGAAAAATGAAAACAGCATAATAGTGTAAACATATCAGTAGTTAAATTAGGTAGGAATCTTATGAAATTAAAACTTATGTAACACTAAGGAAGAAGTGAATGGATTATCAAAGTGCGTCGGTGGCACAGTGGTTAGGACTCTCGCCGACCATGCACATGGTCCGGGGTTCGATCCCCTGCCGGCGCACACCCGATATCTATGGTCGGCCTGAATTTGGGCTACCGATATCCATGCTGAAAATTCCACACTTGTACTGAAAATACGGTGTGGAATCAAGCTGTAAATCAAAATAAATAAAAAAAAATAAATATAATAAATGTATAGAAGGAGTCGAGCAATAGCAAAGGGCGGAAAATTTTAGTGACAGTTATTTTTTGGATTTAATTTGTGTAAAAAAGAGATAAGTAGGACAAACTTGATTCAACTGCACAGACCAGGATAATTTTTCAGAACTTTCACAGTTTGGTTGGGTATAAATAACCATGAAGGTGATTCTGTTGCACACCCGATGGTAACTTAATTGGGCCTTTTATTGATTTTTGACCTTTAACCGGCCAGATCTCAGTTACTCAGCAAATACATATTCTGGCAAATTTTGATTATAAATATTAATTTGTTTGTTGACGACCTGATCAATTGATATATATATATATATATATATAATGCTCATAAAGTAATAAAATTAATTATTGTTTACTGGCTGCAATTCGCCTGAGGAATTTACATTCTCCTAGACCACTAGAGGTGTGGTGTTGAATATATAGTCCTTGTTTCCATATATAGATCACTGAATCCTCAGCAATACAAAGTAAACGTTCCCTGACATGTTTTGAAAGATCTTTGTATCCTGTAAACTACCAAAAACTGAATTTTCTAAAGCTATAATTTTTAACGACTGTGATTAGAACCATATTTAATGTATAAACCCCAGTAGTACTACTGTGTCTTTGTCAAAAGCTAGTCTGTTTGCTTTCTGCATATTAAATTACAGATTGCACTTCGTTTTCTTGAGAGGTCTGTTAACTTTACTTCAAGTTCGTTTGTCCGGTCCGACTCATTTAGTATGCGGTTGAAAAACAAAGCTGTTAATTCAGATCCATATCATCATTACTATTGTCTTTTGTCTGTTGTTGTACAATAAATAAGGACCAGCTTGTATTTCAACTTACCAGTGATTACTTCCCTATTCACATTTTGGAAACACTTGTTGGCTTACGGCCTCATTCATCAGGAGAGTATTTCGCAAGTTACCTTGACAAAAATACTTTTATTAGTCAATAATTTGAAGTAATTTCTGTCTTATCTAACTATTTGTATAATTGTTTCGCCTTCTACTCAAACTAATTCGGAATGCTTGCTACTTACTATTTATTTTGCTTCATGTGTTTTAAAATACAGGATGGATCCAAATTTGTTATCAGTGAAGTAGGAAAAGGTGGAAGTGTTGACAGTTTGGTTTCTGTACTAAGTATATTAACTGGTTACCCTTCAACTTTTGAGTTCATGGAAGCTGTTGCTGTAGAGCCTACTACGGTGTTGTGTTTACCGACCCGATCATTCCTGGAAATATGCAAGCCAAAAACACCAGCTCTTTTCCGTATTATTCAGATGATTACTGTTAGACTTCAGCGTTTAAGCTTCAATGCACTACATACTTACCTTGGTTTGAGTTCTGAATTGATCAACAAAGTAAGTTTTATAGTTTATTGATATCTCTGTGTGTAAATATTTTGTTTATTTATGGTTATTCAGTCTCATACTTAGATTTTTGTCTCCTGTTTTACGTCGTGACAAATACATGCGAATTGTTCTTTCCAGTTTAAATGTATAAGCAGAATTTGAGCGAAAATGTCTCTTCAGTGATTTCACTCTTTACACCTATAAAGCCTCATGTTTATACATTTTGTCGATATAAAATTTTGTAGTTAAGAGTACTACCTAGTCGGACATAGTGACGAAGATGAAATTAAATGCAAATAATAATAATACATGTAACTGTGTAACCTTGTAAGACATATGTACATAAAAATTTCGATTTTACGGCTGTAGGGAATAAAAACATCAGAAAATTATCTTAGATGAGATTTTTGTTTTTTGCAGTATATCACTAGGTATTTTCGGTGTACGGTAGGTGATATAAAATACTGTCCTCTCGTCACATGACTGAATGCGGTCATATGAGTCTTTAAGAATGTGTGTTTCATAGCACTTTGCAGCGTTAACTAATTTGGTCCTAAAGATTTTATTCAGAACTGATGTCCCTAAAGTTTTAACTGCTCTTACTATGACAAATGCTGAGAATCGAAAATCAAAGAGTAATTTCGAAAATATGGTTTCACAACTTAACACAAAAATATCGCAATCTATAGAACTTGCTAATATGCATCAGCGTATGGGACACAAATGTCCTTGTTCATATTTTTTAATATTCCAAAGGATCTTAGATAAAATTTCCATTGTCTAAGTGGTAACGAAGAAAATTTTGATGTGTGAAATTATTAGAAGTTATGAACTTTAATTTAGTGTGATTAACTGAAGCAGCTTTTGTTAAGTGATTCATATCGACTATTTAAGTTCAGAAAGAGAATCACTTTTGTTTACTGATGCGATATTTTAATCTTCGTAATACTGTATGTAATTAAGTTTTACGGAATTCCCACTTCTTGCTTCCATCCTTGTTTTGAATTCACCTTAATGTCTCGGTATCACATTTTAATCGTTCTAATTTTTCCTTCTACCTTATTATAAATCTATTAACCTTTTTACGATTACCTTATGTACATGTTCATCTACTTATTTTAAGTATAGAATAGTTTCTATATATTGAAATACTTCTTTAGACAGTAATTTTAGTGGTAATTCTTCAAGAGAGGTGAATTTATAGGACTTTGCTTCGGTTATTATCATTTTAAGACATTTAGGGTAGTAGAGTTTGCAGTCCTCAACTTCATCGACTTTGAAAAGGCCTTCGACAGCGTCGATCGAGAGGTGATTTGGCAACTACTTCGCTACTACGGGGTGCCGCCGACAATTATACATCTCATCCAACAGTTGTATGACAACGCTGCATGCCAAGTAATCCACAACGGGAAGCTCACGGAATCCTTCGAAGTGAAGACAGGAGTAAGACAGGGTTGCCTACTATCGCCAATGATTTTCCTGATTGCAGTAGATTGGATAATGCGACAGACAGTGGGCAATGAGGAAACAGGCATAAAATGGACTCACACAAAGAACTTGGAGGATCTGGACTTCGCCGATGATATATGTATGATTTCCCACAAACTGGAAGATATGCAAGTGAAAAGTAACAAGTTGGCAGAAGAAGCATCAAAGATAGGACTCCAGGTGAACATAGAGAAAACGGAGGTGATGAAGATTCCTGGCCAACACCAACAGCCACAGCAACAACAACAGACAGCAATCAGCATAAATGGAAGGAACCTGAAAGAAACTACCTCCTTTACCTACTTGGGAAGCATTGTTTCAACTACAGGCGGAACTGACGAGGATATCAAAGCAAGGATCGGGAAAGCAAGGCAAGCTTTCATTACTCTCAAGTCTGTGTGGAGGTCAACAGCATTCAGCGTCAAAAATAAGATCGGGATTTTCAACTCCAATGTGAAGTCAGTACTACTATACGGATCAGAGACTTGGCGTGTCACAAAGAGCACCTCAAACAAGCTACAGACCTTCATTAACAGATGTCTTCGCTCAATACTCAAGATCAGATGGCCGGAAAGGATCAGCAACAAAGATCTCTGGCAGCGAACCAACCAGGAACCGATTGTGAAACAAATAGGCAGGAAGAAATGGAGATGGATTGGCCATACTCTGAGGAAACCAGCAAGTGACATCACTAGACAAGCCCTCGAGTGGAACCCGAAAGGGAAGCGACGAGTTGGTCGTCCAAGGGTGACCTGGAGGAGATCATGTGAAGAAGAATTGAAAGCGTATGGGCAGACTTGGAGCCAGGTGAAAACTCTAGCAGAGAACCGAACGCAATGGAGACGCATGGCTGAAGCCCTATGTTCCTCTAGGAACTAAAGGAAATAATAATAAATAATATAATAATAATAGAGTTTGCAGTGTTTACTCGATGATTCAATGCCATTCAGTAGTAAAGCTGAATCATATAGTCTGCATCATTTCAAACAGGTAGATAATCGATTGACGTTCATATTTCGCTCTCCTTCATCCCGTATGTCTCAATTCAATAAGTTCCTCTATTTCATGAGTGTGAATATCAAATATTTGATACACTAGGTTGTTTCTAGATGCTGAAAAGTATTTAGTGACTTATAGTGTAGTCATATTTTGATGTTCTCAATTATGCGCTTGAAAACTGCTTTATCTTTTTATAGTTTTCCTCTAATAACATTCTGTGGGAAATTTCTTGTGGAATATCTGATTTTGGAAGTGGAATAAAAGGCATAACATGTAGTAGAATATTTCTCTTTCATTAATTTAAAGCACATGAATACATGAACAAAATGACAATATAAGACCAAAAAGTTCAGTGAAGAGTCTCTTTTCGGCGAATTTATTCACTTAGCTGCACAATCGCATTTATATACAACTATTTTGTGTGTGTGTATATCAGGATTGTGAAACAAAAATAAAAGTTAGTTGGAGTTATCGTCTACGTCACCAAAGTGTTTCAAAAATGTGATGAATAATCAATTTGTAACTAGGGCGGTGAAGATTGGTACTTATTGACAAGGGTTGCGTAATATGAAAGACACCCAGAAAAGTGGAATGTTAATAAAAGAGCATGGAGACAAGTGTCCGAAATAAATTATGTAATAGGTAGAAAGAGTAAATAAAAAGTTAGCTAACAAAAAAATGTTGCTAAAAAGTCATACAAACATTCAAAAAAGCCTTAGTAACAAAGTAGTAGAAGTTGGAGTTATACCTAAGGTAGAAGAAAGGGATGGAGAAGTTTCTTCTGTGTACATAAATCAGGGTTTTCTACCCTAATCGCTAAGGCCTCGGCAATGCCAAGTTAAGGAGAGCTTACCGTTTTCGACAGGCTTCTTTTGACTTTGTACATGACTTTGACTGGATTCTCCTTATATATTGAGTGATCGGTGTTGAGTATATGTTCAATTATAGCACTCCTTATTGAACTACTGTTACCTTTTCGTAGCCAAGCGAGATAATGTTCTTTGACTCTTTTAGATAAAACGCGCATCGAATGGCCTTTATATCTCGCTCCACATGAGCAAGTAGATTGGTAGATGCACATAAAAGTGGTCAAGTGCGATAGTTTATCTTTGGAGTTGTTGAAGAACGATGGGCGCTTTAGAATACCAACCGTAATGTAGCAGCAGGGAACTTTCTTTTCAGGGCATTAAATATTCTTCTTCTTAGAATGTCGACCAGAAGGTCGCCTTTGAACGCCACATTCATCTATAGCATCTTCTTCGGCACAAAGATGGGTTGTTCTTTGTTAATTTTCGGCTTTGTGTTTATCTATAAAGCGTGGTGGATAGCCATTCTCAAGTAGTGTCTTCCTCAAAAGAGTGATCTCTTCTTCTACTGATTCGGGGCTGCAGATTTTACGGATTCTAGTCACAAGAGATATTATCAGGTTTCCCTTGCGATCGATGAGTACCAAACTGTAAAAGTTTGTCAACTGGTCGTTCGATGTACGCTTTCAGTCTACTTATCATCTTCAAAGTCCCATCAGTCTTCTTTGTTAGTAAAACGTCCAGAAATGAGACTGTTTCTCCGGTTTCTGCTTCACTTGTAAGTTTGATGGCTGGGTGTCAGCTCACCACTTTTTTTTACTACCCTCTTTCGGGAAAAATTGTATACAAATGCGTTTGCACAGCTAAGTGAATGAATTCACCGAAAAGGGACTCTTTGCTAAACTTTTTGTTCTTAAAATGACAATAATCTTGAAATTGAAAAGGTTACTTTTAAGTTTGAAAATTATACATAACTATCGAGAAATGAAGTTATTTCAGTGAAAACGAAATTCGGTTGAGTGGAGACTCTGGTAAAGTAGTCAGTATGAGAAACAATGCAGTGAAAATTAGTAAACGTTGTTCATTGTGTTTTTTTCAAAGAAGAATGTGAACATGAACAAAGTTATTAAGGCGAAAAGTACTATACAATAAATCAAACTAAATATATTCATCTGGTATAATAATAAGCAAGAGTAAAGGTCGAAAATATGGTACCATGGTAAGTTGTGGCTGATCACTGCCTTTTTTGTCGGAGAGCAGCATGTTTTCTAAACCTGAGAACTCTTATTTGTTCATTTTTTGTTTACTGTAAAATTTTTGCATTTATCATTATCATAGTAACATAGATAACTTGCGCTTAAACGTTGTAGAATAAGTGCCATGACTACTAAATCTAATGTTTCACGATATTGATATAATATGACCATTTCGTATATTCCACATATTTTTGCTTCAAATATCCTTTTTACTAGCATCTTTCTGCCAAATGCTCTTACGAATAGTTAAGACGCATATTAGGTCTGGTCTTTTCCAAACGACTTTTGGTCACTTGTTATACAATATCTGAGATGATGCACTGATAGAAACTAGTTTCTTCTTATCTTTTTCAAAGAATATTTCTGGACAAAATTTCGTAGACTACTGTTTTTCACAGTTTTATCATAATCGGAAATTATGGTTAAAACATGATAATTTTGATGTCATTGTTTGACTGCAGTTTCAAGAAGGTTTTTTTACCTTCTGTAGAAATGTTATCGCATAATAGCATTTGTAAAAATCCATGAAAATTTTTTGCTGTTTTTCAGGACGATCCACCATTTCCTGGTCCATCTAAAGCCAATAAATTCTTGAGCGAAATTTTCGAAAAGAAACCGCATATGAAAGATTTCGATGAATTCGGTAACATCAGTTCAAAGTATTCAGGTAGGATTTTTCTTTGGATTCTTAAGTGAATATTGATTTTTAGAAAATTTAGTTTCATTTACGTGTAGTTTAACGAATAGGTCTTTCCGATGATGAACTGATTTTCTTTAGCTGTTTTTCCCGAAAGAGGGTAGTAAAAAAAGTGATGAGATGACGTAATCATAGTTTTTAATGTAGTAATGCATAAAAGGAGTGGAACAAGTATATTAGAGTTACGTAATAAGATGAGTAATTTAATAAATGATTTGTAACCAGGATGCACATAGAAACAAAGGAAAATGTGAAATTACGTAAGAAATGCAAGAGTTACAAATAGTTAACACTTTATACAGCTAAAGAAGATGAATTTGAGGAAAACAGTCTCTTCGCTGAACTACTTGTTTTGTTGTTTTCATGAATGCCTGGATGAGGATTATTTATTTATTTCTGCAAGTTATCATATATATCATGGCGGCCTGCTTAAATCACTAGGGGTAGCAGAATTTCCACTCATCAAAATGCTTAAATTCTTCTAAATTTTTTATTGTTTTAATCGTGAAATCATATCAAATGACCACTGCATGAACTCGCATGCATACTCAATTAGCTTACAACTAAACGCTGTGCAATTCTTGAGACAAATCAAGAAAAAATAGAGAGGATTGGTTCTCTCTTTATATACAACAACGCTATGTCACATGATATATTTCAGATTACTACTTTATATGTGTAAATGCTGTATGAAGAGGAAATACTTTGGAATTAAATACGCTGAAAATTTCTGCATTATGTGTTCACATATTTTTGATCGAACGCTAGTTAGTAACTAGTGCCACATCGTAAACTTGACTGATAGAATTCAGTCTGCGTCCAACAGAGGATTAGACACATTACGCTAGTTGCTAACTTGTGTCCAACCAAAAGTATCCAATACACTCCTACAGGAGGTCAATCGCGAGCCCAAATAGCTCAGTGGCAGTGTCTCCGGCTGCAGCACTGGATGACGCGGTTTTGAATCGCAGAAGGGACTTGAGTTCCTTCAACGTTGCAGATACGCCTTGCTGATGAGTGCCAACTAGCACGAAACCTAGGTCCAAGGCTTCCTGTGGCCGATTGCCTCCAACCATCTAACATCAACAATTCAAAATAAAGCTTTATTATTATTAACTGAGTGATTTAAGCACTTTTCAAAAAATCTATAGATTGCAATAATGGTCTATATACTATACAAATTTCACTTTTCAGTTGTGATTATTATTGGCTTTCATACAATCGGTTTAGATTTTAAGTTGTATTATTTTTTGTGTTGATTTACGAACATTCTAAGCGCCATCCTAGTTGGATATTTTCACATAAAGTATGTTTGATTTTGTTCTGCGAATGATACATTAGAAGTTAAACACATAACAGTGTTTAACCTATTGATCATTCTCATTCTTATCAATTCTACCTAATCTAAATATCAGTCGCCAGCTGACTGGTGGCTACTGAATGGATTTTGTGAAGCTGCAGCAGTAAGTCGTGACCGGTGGGGTTCATCATGTTAAGATGAAGTAGGTGCTCATCGAAGGCATCAGCGACAGCAGTGCTATATCACGAGTTGACAAAGGTTACAATTTCAGGCGTCAGTGAATTCCAGCCCAAGTGAATGAATGGTCAGCGAGCTTAGTCTCGTAATCTAAAGACCTCAGGTTCGACGTCGTTGGTGTGCATTAATGAGGAGTCCCAAAATTGGACAAGACAGCTCCCTGGTTTTCAGGGATCTCTTTAACTGATGGTGGTTTGCGACGGAAATCTAACAGTTGAAATTCTACCTTCGTTATGGAATAAAAATACGTAGTAGTTTTTCTTGAGTTCACTTTTAATATTTAAATATCGAAATGAAGTCAGTGTGCTTGATTAATACTGAGTCAATGAATATAATTTACTTAAATTATAGGAATTTCTGCTCATGTAAAAAGCATTCGTTCTGCAACCTGTGTAAACAAAACAGACAGCCTAAAAGAATAGGTCATCTGACTTAATTAAGTAAACTGTGACTTATAGAAGAAGAATTCTTATACACTTTTATTTCAAATAGTTTAACATATACTACCACTTTATTACCTATGGAACTTTATTTTACCTCTGTTCAGTTTGTCCATTATTGTTCCAACCATGGTGTTGTATGGAAGTTATGGGATTTTATAATTCCTGTGGATATCTGTTCTCATCACTTCTTGTTCAACTTACCAATTCACGAATAGACGTAGTGTATTTGTTTGCAAGTTTTTAGGGTTAAACATGTTGTCAGTGCAATACTATTCGTTTCGTAAACTCCATAATGTAGAAGAATATTGAAATTTAAAGTTCTTTTTGAATCCATAAATTGATTTATTCTGTAACCCTGGATCCTTTAAATCTAGCATATGTGTATTTAGATTTAGTTCGAGTATTTTTTGTTTTCATGTTTCCTATCATGACTGCCTTTTTTTCCTTGTATTACAATGCTTTAAACCAATTAGCTCCTTATTGTCGTGACTACAACATTAAAATTCACTGCCTGTTTCCTGAAGACTGTCTACATTTAAATTACTTTGCGATTCTTGTGTTTGATTCACGTGTCATCCACTTATCACATATCTTGATGATATTGGATGCTTAAAGAAATCCTCATAGCTCTACATCAATTTTTTGTGTTTATCTCCTTTATAATTGTAAGACATGGCCATTGGAAGTGGAAGACATGAAAAGACTAGCTGTGTTTGATCATAGGTGTCTGCGTCTTATTTCCTATATTAAGTGGTATAATAAGGCGAATAATATTGGGGTTAGGCGTCGAGTGTTTCGTTAAGGAGGGAAAATCTATCGATTAGTTTGTGAAACTACATCGATTGAGATGGCTAGGTTTTGTCTTACGGGCAGTGTTAGCTGACATAGGATCAGGTTGGGAGAGAGGTGGTGGTGATCAACCCAAAACTTAGCATCAGTCCATGAGATCTTAAACAGTTGGTTTGGGCCGCACAGGAGGTATAGACTACCTGCTTGGGTTCCACGAGATGTTGAGAACCAATGGTTGTAGACTATCGGTGATATGGCTCAAAGTCGTTCTCAATGGCGCAAATGCATTCATTCCGTATTATCCACCATATCCAATAAAACTCTATTGTTTTTCCATGTTACTATCCCGCCCCCTCACATTTTTACTTATTATCTTCCTTTTGGATCTCTTTTTTCTAGTTTGTCTTCTTTTGTGTGCAACATGAAGTGTGGCAACTCGAACTGCTGCACTTCTGCGGCTAATTTCTACGTTGAAAGCAGTCAGTCAGTTATCTCCATGAGATAACTGGAACTAAAGATAGGAAACTTTATTTTATGTGATATTTTACATTCATATCCTGAATCATTTTTTTGTTACTTCATTTATTCTTCAAGTTGCATTATGGCTCTGTACAATACTTTATTACATTACTTTCATTTCATTTCATTTTAGTGTGAAATATGATAAATTAGAGCATTATGTAGAAATGTCACCTCCTGTTTTCATAATATCTATCAGGAGAAACCGTTACTTTTTCATAATATTTGAAAATTATATTTTCACAGACGTCTTGTATGAGTAGATCATTTTTTCAAATTTGCATTTCCCAGTATTTTAAAGTAATGACTACAATAATCGATTGGTGGATATATCAGTGAAGCGTATTTTGTTTCTGCCCCAAAGAATCTTTAATCAGACAAAAGAAAAGTAGTCATATTAGAGAATTACGGTTGATGAGAAAGCTGTTTTAATTACAGTGACATTTTGAATACCTGCTGCGGGATTATTTAATCAATAAATTAGTAAATGTTGGTACTGTTACTTCACATCTCTCGTTACAGTCTCATTTGCACTCTAAGGTCTATCGGTTTTTTATTTGTTCTGAGTGTTAAAACGCTCTTGGAAAAAGCGCTTGCCTACTGGTAATATTGTGAAGATCAGTGGTCGTTCAATTCTCCTTTAGGTAATAGCTTTTACTTAATTGGATGGACTAATTGACTATTGTATATCCTCAATGATAATATTTTGTTATTTTGATAGACGGTGATTCATGTGGTTCGTAATTTATATACTAGACAAATCGTCTTATAATTAATTAATTAATTATTTCAGACTCAAAGGAAGTGTTACCAAAAGCCAAATCTCCACTGTCAACCACCTTGGATGATCAACAGTTTGGAAATTTCGGTGCAGAAATAGAACAAGCTTTCCCTGCAGAAGACAGTTTGATCTTAGATTCAGCATCTCAGTCTAATGCTCTTGAGCTGGGTGAAGCTCCAATTTTTTGTGGCAAGAAAAATACAAATGGTGTCAAGTCTTCGCCTTCACAACCGCCTAGTCCAACCTTTAAACGTCGGTTTACAAATTTACGTCGGGCACACTCACTTCTTGATACATCATCCAGAAGGAAAGGAAGGTCTGATAATTTAGACAAAGAGAATGAAAATAACAATCCAAAATTAGCATCTGAACGTTATAAACTTACGAACAAAATGAATTTTACTGATGAAGAAGTAAAAACCTTGATAAAATTAGCCGAAGATGATCTTGCTAGTCTCCTAAATTTAAATGACCCAAGTATTCTTCGTGGATCTGTCGAACTTTTTTCAGTTCCATCTGATTTTGTGCTTTCAAGAGAATCAGAAATGCAGATGGAAATGTATTATGTTATATCTGGAGAGTTACAAGCACTCCAATCAACAGGCGGATTGAGTAACGAGGTAAGACCAATTTTTTAATAATTTTAATTGACGATGAGATTCTGATATGGCTTTGGATTATTGTTATTATTATTCCCTTGGGTCCCGAGTGAATCATAGGACTCTATTTTGTCCTGTTTAGTCGGCCCCACGATTGATCATAATCTTTAATTTTCTCTCCGCACAATCTTTTCCATGCCACCTTCGAAAACCCAACTCGTCGTTCCCCACTCGGGTTCCGCTCGAGGTCCTGCCTGGAAGACGATGTCACCCAGAGGGTGTCCGGTCGATCTCCATTTCTTTCGGTATATTTGTTGGGTATTAGGTTCTTAATTGGTTTGTCCCCTAAGTTTCTTGTCGGTAATTCTTTCTAGCCATTTGATCTTTAATATGGAGAGAAGGCAGATGTTGATAAAAGTTTGCAGCAGTCTGTTAGAAATGCTTTCCGTGAAGAGTTCGCCAAGTTTCTGACCCATGTAAAAGAAATGACTGACTTAAGATTAATATTGAAAATCCGAATTTTTTGTTCTATATGCTGAGTTCAAAAGATTAGTAAACTGATTTCAGACTGATGAAGGTGTATCTTGCCTTTCCGATTCTGGTTTTGGCTCATCATCTATGGCACCTGTAGTTGAAACGCTGCTGCCTAGATAAGTGAAGGAAGTGACCTCTTTCAAATTTCTTCCCTTGACAATGACTGGTGCTTGCTGTTGTCGTTCGTTTGTTATCTTCATCACCTCTGTCTTCTCTAAGCTCACTTGAATTCCTATCTTTACCGCTTCTTCTACCAAATTGTTGGTTTTCGCCTGTAAGTCTTCGAATTTATGTGACAGACATAAATCGTCCGCAAAGTTCAGATATTCTAGAGTTTTTTTATCTGTCTAGCATATCCCTGTCTTCTCGCCCCCCCCCCCCAGTCTTCCGTATAATCCAGTCCACCACAATCAAGAATAACATCGCTGATGGTAGTCAGCCTTGTCGTACTCCCGCCTTCATTTCAAAGGCTTTACTGGCTTTGGATTGGCAGACTGTTATTGCTGTAGTGGGTGATCAAACCATGAAAGATGAGGTAAAGTTTCTCCCACTTAAGAAGAAAATATTCTACTGATAAAAAAATTTTCTCATAGCTAGTTGGTTCATAGGTCTGTTTGCTGTTACTGTAGAGATTGCTTCCGATTTACTTACCATCATTCACTGTATGGTATCTTATAGACCAAAAAGTATATGTAACAGGATTTTCTCGAAAAAAAGTGACGTTAATGTCAAGTATGTTTTGACTTGAAACACCCTTTATTCATTTTTACAGTGTATGTTCAACTCTGTTGAAATTTTTGGCAGAAATAAAGAATACAATTTTGACATAATAACACGTATAAGGCAGAAAAATCAATAGACTATGCTGGACAAACGTGATTTCAACTTTTCACGAAGATGTTTGTTTGCACTATCATTTTTTCATTATATTTTCGTTAGCTTAACCATTTATCAAGGGTATAAGTGTATAATTATAATTTCATATGATAATAAAAACAAGAAAGATAGATAACCTTATGTAAGTAGGAACAATAACATTTAAAAACCAAGTGAATAAGGTTAGGTGTTAAAAAAGAATAATAAGTTAGGGTTTTACTGATACACCCTCTCTTAATATTTCAAATTCTTTTTTTTCTATAGCATAAACTCTTCCGTGTGAGATATGGCTTTTTTCTTTAGTGTGATTTCAGTAATTTTAGTTGCCTGATTGATTTATTATAACCAATGGATGATCTATAGAGATATGTGAAAGTTGGAAAATTTCAACTCATGATAAGGGAATTATTCTTTAAGTCTACTCACTTATAATCCACTTTAATTTGAACAGCAGGTCAAAGATGAGGCAGTAACTCATCGCAGAAGACATTGCGAAATGGTCGCGCTATGTCGTGAATTGGCAGAAGTTAGAATTCAAGAACCATTGAATCGGGTCCCAGTGGCTCAATGGTCTACGAGCTCGTCTTGTAACCAGAAGGTCCTGGGTTCGAACCCCGGTGGATACGTACTGATGAAGAGTCCCAAACTAGGACGAAACAGCTGTCCAGTACTCCCAGGTTTTCCAGTGGTTCTCTAACTGATGTCAGCTCATGATGAAATCCTCCAACCAGTCCTAAATCACTTCATGATCCAATTAATGCAGTATTAGCGGCAAAAAATACACGATCTACTAGTTTATAGAGCTATTCGTTTTGGTACATCCTGCAAATTAAATCATATGAGACCAAAAGATGTCTGTTAAAGAAAAGTTTGCCTGCAAGCTGTCTTTGCATCCATGTTAAGTATTGTGACTCAGTTCTCCTAGTTTGTTAAAATGTGATATTTTTTTATGATAACCACGTATGAATAGAGTTGACTACTAGTAAAACACCTAAAAAGACCAACTGGAGCTCAGGAATAACAAACCGTATTTTCACCTTACAACAGGTTCTAATGTAGACACTTTCTACGTTTTTAGACTGAAAAGCGATATTTTAGTTTTAGAAATACCCAGCTGTGAAATGAGGGGTGATACTGAATACACTTTCCTTGAACTCAAAAAATCGTGTAATGGAGTATAAACAGTCGTCTGTATAGAGCAGTTATTATTATCTTATTATTATTCCCTTGGGTTCCGAGTGGAACATAGGGCTTCAACAGCACATCTCCACTTCGTTCTATTTTCTGCTGTCCTCTTCATCTGGGTCCACGATTGACCATAAGCACTCATCTCCTTTTCTCACGATCTCCACCATGTCGCCCTCGGACGACCCACTCGTCGCTTCTCATTCGGATTCTACTAGAGCGATGGCCTGCATTGTGAGCAATGTCATTCGACGGCCTCCTCAACGTATGCCCTATCCATTTCCATTTTCTCCTACATATTTGTTGAGCAATCGGTTCTTGGTTGGTTTGTTCCCAGACAGAGTTTCTTGTTGCTAATTCTTTCTGGCCAGTTATTCGATCTTCATTAGGGAGCCAGCCAGCGAGGGTCGCAGCTGTTGATAAAAGTCTTCAGCAGTCTGTTAGAAATGCTTTCCGTGACGCGTTCGTCAAGTTTCTGACCCATGTAAAAGAACTGATTGACTTAAGATTAATGTTGAAAATACGAATCTTGTTGTTTATGCTACAGAGTGCAGAAGATTTCCAAATTGTGTTCAGGTTGATGAAGGTGTGTCTTGCCTTGTCTAGAAAACTACCGAGCTAGTAAACTAGACGAGGTTATCGGGCAATTAAGTGTCAATAATGAAAAAAATAACCATCTGCTGACTCTTTCCACTTATGTCATCTCAGTTTCAAAAGTAAAAGAATATCAGTGAACATATGGTGAACAGTAGCCTCAACTTGCAATTATAATAGAAAATAAAACAATTACCCATTTACAAACGTCGACTATTAGGTACTTAAAAGTTGCTTCAAGGATAAAATATAAAACCTAGACTATTTAGACTTTTCGTATATTTAAGCCATTTCGAATTGTTTTCATTATTACGTGTGATATTAGTAAACTGCAAGTGCTAGACAAATGCATTTTAGGATTTTTGGGTTTGTAGGCATTTTGGTTATGTATTAGAACTGTTTCAACTCCAAAACTACTGACTGTTTATTGATAGGAGAAGAAAATCACTTTGATTACTGAAAGCATTTTTTTTCCTTCACGTTCCCCAGTGGAATATAGGGCTTCAAGCTAGTGGCTTGAAGTTTCTGTAGCAGTGTTTATTTTACAGGATGGGGTTGCTAACCTCATGCCCAACCTTTCCTCTTCACCAGCACTATTTCTGGCTTAGCGAGGTAAAGGAGTGAGTCGGCCGGGGATCGAACCCCGGACCATGTGCATGGTCGGCGAGCATCCTAACCGCAAATCAAAACCATTTTAATTGTACATAATTACAGAATATTGCTAGGAATACTATTCAATATATGTCGTTGACTAAACTATTCGTCGAGAAAGTGATTCAATAACCTACTTGCTTAATAAATTTAAATTGTTCAGTAATATTGAAAGAAGCTGATCTTTATTTGTTAATTCAAATTTATTTGCAGGTTGTTACCATGTTTACATGTGGACAGGGTAAGGTAGTTGGACTTTTGGGACTTATAACTGGTGAACCGAATATCTATAGTGTAAAGGCTAAAACAAACACTATTGTAGCTGTATTCTCTCGTGAATGCTTTTATGCTGTAGTTCGTCAGTATCCTGAAGCTTTATTCAGTGTCACTCATATTGCTTCTTCGCATTTGTCGCCATTACTACACCAACTTGATTTTGCTATGGAATGGATATCTGTCAAATCAGGAAAAGCTCTATATAAGTAAGTGATATATTCCTACTATGTTATTTTCTATTGGGAAATAATAATTTAATATAACAGACAATCAGATAATTCTCGTGACACGCATGTAATAGCTTTATATACAAGTATGTACGACTTGTGGCATTGGTTTGACATTTTTGTAGGCTCTGGGCACTGTAGTAGTAGTAGTATTTAATTCCATGTCTATTTGTTTACTAAATATACATCACACAGTGAAATAGTAGTTTTGTTTTTTACTAGATGACGTTTCGAACACAGTTCATTGTTCGTAATCATATCACTTGTAACTACAAGCCACCTTCACAACTTGATTTTTTTAGTTATCGTCCTTCTTTCCCATTTGTCGTAAGGGTAGTACAATTTTTTAGATGTCCAGGGTAGGTTTTGAGTCATTCGTATTTCACGTGTTCTCATTTGATTCGGTAAATAGATCGCTCCCTCCACTCTGTGTCACATTAGATTTATTACTGACACTTTATACTATCCCGTTGTATGGTTATATGTCAGTGCATGTGATTCTGTAGCTGAGCCTTTTACTAAATTTCTTAGGGTCAGTTATAATCTACATATCCTAAGATTTTTTTTGTGCTCCCCTGGTCTAGTTGATCTCGGTCTACTACTTTGGCCTATGTATTTGACCTCACAACTACTGTAGGGTATTAGATAAACTAAATTATTTTGTTTAGTTGACTCCATAGAATCCTTTCTTTAACTGACATAGTTTGTTTGGAAGTGAGTTTGTGGGTTTGAATACCTCTCTTATCTCTATGTCTTTAAGAATCTTACGTAAGGTTTCAGAGGTACCTTCTTTATATTGCAACACTACTTATGCCTTAAATTCCTTGTTCTTGTTATTGTCATCTTTCTGTGTATATTTTCCAATCATGTGGTCCTTATTTTTATTATTATCTGCTATTTTTAATTTTATTCTTACAATTTCTTATATACCTCTTGATTAATTTGTATGAGGGGGGGGGGTAATTATTAATTGTCGAAGCTTCTTTTATGTGCATCCCTTTTTCTGATTTTCTCGCTGTTTTCCTAATTCGTATTATGTTTTTATCGTTTTGTTCTGTTTCATTTAGTTACTGCAGTATTTACAGTAATTCTATTTAATACCATGTGTATTCATTTAAAAAGAATAATTTTGTGATTACAATATTTTTCTATGACTTTGGTTTATCGATTTCAGGGAGTTTTACACCTTCAAACTTTGTCACTACCACATAAACTTGACATTGTGAGCTACTTATTTAAACTGTATGCCTAATCCCAATTCTTGTTTACTTCTTTTTTTCAACTTGAAACATTGTGCGTCGGTGGCACAGCAGTTAGGACTCTCGCCGACCATGCACATGGTCCGAGGTTCGATCCCTCGCCGACGCACACCTGATATCTATGGTCGGCCTGCTAAATTTGGGCTACCGATATCATATGCTGAAAATTTCATACTTGTACCAAAATACTGTGTGGAATCAAGCTATAATAAAATAATAAAATTAAAAAAAATAAATTGTGTTTCAACATTTCTAAAGCCTGTTTCTTAATGTACACGTTATTTTTGTTGTTGTTTTGTTTTCAGGAAGGGAGATGATGCTCATCATGTGTATGTTGTTTTAAGTGGTCGTTTAAGACAAGTTGATAATATGACAGGTGGAGGTCATCGAATAGTTGGTGAACTTGGGCGTGGTGATCTTGTTGGCTTTCTTGAAGTTATCAGTGAACAAACAAGAATATATACAGTTATGGCTGTTAGGTGAGTTAACCACATTTCATTATTGTTGTATAGATATATCAGTTCTCGCGTTTTGTCCCCCTTTATATTCATTGTACGTATATGATGGATAATTGTTTAGTGCAGTTGCTTTGGTGAATTTTTGTTTCGTTAGCCAACAATGTTTACGATTACAAGCCTAAACCTATTTATATATAATATATTATTATTGTTCCCTTGGGTTCCTAGTGGAACATAGGGCTTCAACTGCACGTCTCCACTTGCTTCTGTCTTCTGCTGTACTTTTCACCTGCATCCATGTTAGTCCATACTGTTTCAACTCCTCTTCACACGATCTCCTCCATGTCACCCTTGGACGTCCCACTCGTCGCTTCCCTTTCGGGTTCCACTCGAGCTATGGCCTGATGCGCGATGTCACCCAGCGGCCTCCTCAGCGAGTGTCCAATCCATCTCCACTTTCTCCTGCATATTTGTTGGGCGATTGGTTCTTGTTTTGTTTGTTCCCATAGTTTCTTGTTGGTGATTCTTTCCGGCCATCTGATCTTTAGTATAGAACGAAGACAGTTGTTGATAAAGGTCTGTAACAGGCCGTTGGAAATAAATATTCTTTGTGACCCGCCAAGTTTCTGATCCGTATAGAAGAACTGACTGACTTGACGTTTGTATTGAAAATCCGAATTTTGTTGTTGATGCAGGCTGAGTGACGAAGATTTCCAGATTGGTTTCAGGTTGATGAATGTGTTTCTCGCCTTCCCGATTCTCGATTTGACATCCTCGTCCGTTCCTCCTGTAGTTGAGACAATGCTCCCTAGATATACAATATATACGATACCCATATACTCGGATATTATCACCACTGTGTCTATCATCAAGCTGATTCAAACAACAAATTCCAACTAAGCACGTATATGTAAGTGTGTCGCAGTAGAATCTCATCACTATAGTTGAGTATAGTTTTATGTTAGACTTTTATGACACACAGTAATGCAGCATTGTTTTAATAAGTAATTCTTTGCCAGGAATATATTCCTTGTAATCGTCATCAAAGTAATCACACAATGTTCTCAATATCTTACATAGTATTTTTATAGAATTATCAAGTAGTGTTTTCAGTTATTTAAATATTCCCATTATAATAATTATAGAACACAATTGAGGGAAATATGTATTTTCGGTAAACTCTTATCAGGCTTTATAATTACATGATAAAATATAAGTCATAGGCATTTGAAACAATATGGGTGAACAGAATCAAATGGAATCAAAGTTCGAGGATTTGAGGCAGTGGATAACAATAAAAGTAATAATAATAATAAGGATTCATTCAAGTGTTCATATAATCTGGAGAAAGACAATACTTTATCATTTCTTGATGTCCTGCTTAACGGGAAGACAAGATGGCATTATTAAACGGTGGGGGTATTTTCAGGGAAAAAAATGCGGGTTGGCCAGTACACTCATTCCAAGTCGTTTGTTCCACTTGTATACAAACGAAGCCTTATCAGTACCCTGTTGTTTCATGCTTGAGAAATCTGCATAACTGACACTTTTCATAATGGAATAAGGAAACACACAAAACTTGTTATATGAGAACATGTCCAGAAAACTTCTTTAAATTTTCTGTGATGAGAACAGATAGAGAGAGATGTCTGCAACTTGTGTTGAAAAGAGACGCAGTCACTAAATTAATGGTATCGAAACTCCGAAAAGTAAAACATTTTTTGCAACAACCCTATGTTTGAAATTCACTACTTGTTGTATAAATTCTACCGCATGCGAAGGATAAGCTACCGAGTCTGGCCACTTCAATGTACACTTTTAAACTTAACTGTTCTTGTGGAGACAGTTACATAGGTAGAAAAACTCGACCAGCTAACCGTCGACCTTCTTGAGCAATTGTTCAACATGGTTAGGTAAAGGAATCGTAAAGCCTGGTAAGAATTTACCGAAAATACGTATTTTCTTCTATCCGTTTCCTATAATGTAGTGTTTGTTTAGACAGTGGGAATACTAATTTACCCATTCTGGCTCGTAAAAATATAGATTCTACAAACCACTATATCACATCATTGTTATTTAAAATCTGGAGGCTGCTTCTAATTAGGAGGTATATTTTTCTAAATTAACCTTCATACTCTGTGAAGTAGTTGGATAACAGGTTAAAAAAACACAATTATCTATACACATTTGTTTTTTTTAATAATGTAAGTGTAAACATCCATTTTAATTATCGATATTGCATAAATCATGAACAAAGACTGATTTTTATTCGTATTAACTACCTTCACCTCGTTTCCACTATTCAGCCCGACCGAAAGTTGCTACCTTGACGTGGTGGTCGGGCTTGAACACCGCAATGACCCAACAAGCTATACTGGCTGAGACTTATGTCGCTTGAGGTCCTACCATGCCAGAAAGGTTGTTTGGATAGCGGTTAGACAAAAAGCAGCTACCCAATCCAATGCTATGACTCAAACAAAATCACAAAATATCATGCCGGATCGGTTGGGGCCCGGATTAACAACGACCGCGCTTCCTGCTGCCGTGTCACAGGGCAGAAGTGATAAATATGCTACTGAGATACACCAAATAAAAAAAGAACAAACAAAAACAGGCCGCGTGTGACCGGCCTCAAGCAGTTGTCCCCTGGGCTCTGCGGTCACGCAACCAACTTCCATAGTGTGGGCAGCCGGGAAGTAACAATCGCCCTCACAATCCGAAATGCACGCGAAACCTCTCCACTATTCAGTATCCATCTCCGTTATGCATACGTCACATTCATATTATAATAACTGACTGTGTAACCTGTACAAGTCCACTAGCAACGACAACAACAGCATTAATAAGGATTTTGTCTGTGTTCAATCAGGTACCTAGCAAAGAAATAGTTTTTTTTAACTATATCGCTAGCATTTGTAAAAATGACTTCTAAAATAATTTACAGTGTTTTTATATTAGGTACTTTCAGTTTCAACATTTCAGTTAAAATAGTAAATAATAATAATAATTCACACATTTAGGAAGATTATTGAAGTCAGATGTTAGTTTTGGTCTTTTCTGCCGTCGATATATAAATCACATGGTAAAACTGGTGATTTTGTTTCCAATGAATTTTGTTATGTGCCATATAATTCTGTTACTTAAATGCAGATAATTATAAACTAAGAAAGAATAACCGCATTTAAGCATAGTGGTTTATGGTAAATGATATACTATCTATTGTATTGATAGATGAATAAGGCTCAGGTTTGGTCACGACCTGACATCAGTTTGAAAACGATTAGAAAACTAGGGAGCGCCGGACATCTGTTTCGTCCTAGTTCGGGACTCTACAGTAGTACTCACCCACCGAGCTTCAAACCCAAGACTTTCTGGTTACCAAGTGAGATCGTAGACCATTCAGTCACTGGGACTTGATCCGCTGGGCCCTTGATGTCAGCTCGTGACCGTACTTGTGACCAGTCAAATCCCTGCAAACTATCACTTGATAATCAGTCTAGTTCTGTACAGGAAGTCACCTGGAGTCATAGTGAGAAGTCGTAACCAGATAGGTCCACCGAGTTAGGTAAGGGACCAGTTATCGCCTATGATATCGGCTGGTAATCAGGCTATATATATATATATATATATATATCGCGAATTGGCAGAAGTTGGAATTCATAGGCCATGAGATCGGGTCCTAGCCGCTGAATGGCCCACAAGCTCTCCTTGTGGCCAGAAGGTCCTGCGTTTCAACTCCGGTGGGTGCGCACTATTGAAGAGTCCCAAACCAGGACAAAGTAGCTGTAAAGTACTCCATGGTTTTCCAATGGCTCTTTAAGTAATGTTAACTCATGATCAAACCAGCAAACAATCAAATATTTGAAAACCAACACCTGATAAATAAAATCTATCTTTAATATTCAACGCCTGCAATTAGTTCTGACGGAGCTGTAAATGTACTTTCAGTTCTTTTTCTAGCCTGGCAACTAAAAGTACTATTGAGTTGTTTCATGACTCTTTTTAAAATGAGATAACTGGGCACTTAAAATATAACGAAACACTGACGAAGAGTCCCAAACTAGGACGAAACAGCTGTCCAGTACTCCCAGGTTTTCCAATGGTTCTTTAACCGATGTCAGCTCATGATGAAATCATGTAATCAAAATGCTGTAGACCGTGCTAATGTATACTTCTTCCCAGTACTATATTTGTATTATAACTTGCTCAAATGGCAGTATTGTCCGTCCATTGTTGTCATCCTACGACCTTATTATCTTTAAAAGTTTCTATTAGCAGACATTAATCCATCCAAGTGCGTCGGTGGCACAGCTGTAGAATGCTCACCAACCACGCATGTGTTCCGAGGTTCGATCCCCGGCCAACGCATTCCTTTACCTCAGTAAACCAGTAATAAGACTGGTAAAGGGGGAAGGTTGGGCATGAGGCCAGCAATCCCATCCCGTAAAAATAAACACCACTGCTACGGAAACTTCAAGCCTCTAACTTGAAGCCCTATGTTCCACTGGGAACGTAAAGGAATAAAAAAAACATCCATCCAACTGTTTAAAACTGTATTATGATCTGGCTTCTTAAATCTTAAAAGGGCTGGTGAGGTTGAGAAGGTTAAACCACTAATAAGAAGCAAATTATTATAAGTCATTTACTATAACTGTGTTTCTATGTTTATGACTTATTTGACGAGAAAGTTTTTTAGAAGCTGAATAAGGATTATTATCGTCTTTTCTTTATATGTATAACCTGACTCAATATGAACTTGATTTTTACACTGAACAGTGAATAAATCTCACTCATCAGTGATTTTTGTAATACTTTAACTGAATATCCAATAGTGATCTACCGTGTTATATATATATGTTTATATTTTCTTAAATATTTTCTCATTTTTTTAATAATAATTATTAGAGATTCAGAATTAGCACAGATCCCATCGCATTTACTTCATTATCTCAAAAATAAAGTTCCTCAAGTTTTAACTCGTATCATCCAATTATTATCGAATAAATTACTTGGCAATTTAACAACTGATTCAAGTATGGCCAGTCCTTTGGGTATGCCAATTCTTCATATGACTACTACAAGTCCTTTAGTCAATGGTGGATTAGGTTATACATCAGGCAGAAATTCTAATATGGATGTTTTATATAGTCAGTTGAATAGTGGTGTTATGGCTAATCTACGCACAATTGCTGTATTACCGTCTACTGCTGATATTAACGCTGAAGCATTTACGTTAGAGTTACAACACTCTATGAGTCCAATGGGATCATCTGTTCGTCTAACTTCAGGTAATCAAAAATTACTTGATGTATATATATATATATATATATATATATATATATATAATTCATTTAATCTATGCATACATCTGTCTCTAGATTTGTTGCTTTCAGTTTTGTTCTTGAGTCTTTTTTTATCTGTTTTCAATCGTTTCTCATGAACGTGTTACTACCAGTTTTTACGTACCAATAGTATTTGAGCACTTTGGTAGAGTATAATTCCATCACAGAATAATTTTATTTCATAATCATATCAAATGATTATGAGTAATAAATTGTTCTCAAAATATTCAAGTGTTGGTTTGTAGGGATTTGATTGGTTACAGGATTTTCATCATCAGCTGACATTAGTTAGAGAACCATTCGAAAACCCGGCAGTACTGGACAGCTGTTTCTTCCTAGTTTGGGACTCTTCATCAGTACGCATCCGCCAGGATTCAAACCCAGGACCTTCTGGTTACAAGGCAAGCTCGTATACCATTAAGCCACTGGGACCCGATCCAATGGCCGCCCCATGAATTCTAACTTCTGCCAATTCACGACATAGCGCGACCCCTAGCCAATGTCTTCGGCGAGTATTCGTCCTCACACCCGACCTGCTGCACCCTACTGGTCACGACTTCTCACTAGAACCCCAGGTAACTACTTACCTGAATAGGGCAAGTCGCTAGTGAGCATCTCATTGATATTCAAGTGTTGGTTTGTAGGGACTTGATTGGTTACAGGATTTTCATCATGAGCTGACATTAGTTAGAGAACCATTGGAAAACCCGGCAGTGCTGGACAGCTGTTTCGTCCTAGTTTGGGACTCTACAGCACCACGCACCCACCGGGATTCTCAAAATGTTATTAGTAAATAATACTGTATCACCATGTGTGCTATCAAATAAAATTATTCTATGATAAAGTTATTACTAATGTCTGATCAGTTTCTCGAAATAATATTTTTTTTAGTCTACTCTCTGATGTAAACTGATATGATAATGTAAAACAGAAACTTCATGTTCGTTTGCTTGTTTTCTAAATACAAGTGTACATAAGGGTGTCTGACCTAGTTAGCTGAATGATTGAGTATTGTATATATATTCCAGTAAAGAGGTCGAACTCAACCAATTCTAATTTCTTCTACTGGAGTGGCTTACTGTTGTGTATAGCAGCAGTAGTAGTCAAGCTTACAAGCGCGTATGTGCGTGCTTATACAACTGACTGTTAGACAGTAAATCAGATAGATTGACGTGACGTGTTATAGTGCTGTACACATTGTTCATAGTCTAATTGTGATCGTTTTTATTCATATCATTATGTATTAAAAGTCGGTCAGAGCAGATGACATTCTTTTCAACAAATTCTCTTAAGGTTCTTACAGTTATAAAATAAAAATTGTTATCATTATATAATAATATTCAGGTATGCGATGGATTCGTTTCAACGTAGAATATGATTATGGATCTTGAGTTCAGATTAGATAAGATAATTGATATCTGTACGACAAATGTGATAAATGGATGAATGTAATTTAAAAGTAGTGTGAAGTTAATGAAGAAGATGATTAGTCACAATAAATTTATAAAATGTAGGGAAGGAAAGTCGATAAGTTAGTTCCAGGGTTGTAGAATGTGTTTGAATCTCTAGTACTTGGTAGTGACTGACTGACTGTTTTCAACATAGAACTTTGCACCGATGTGCAGCAGTTCAAGTCGCCACACTCCCTCCATGTAGCACACAAAGCAAGAGAAGAAAGTAGGAGAAATGCATAATATAGACAGTAAACAGAGATGTGAGACAAAGGTATCGCAGTAGCGAAGAACAAAACAGTTTCATTGGTAATCATGAGTCACAAAGAGTGGATGCATCTGCACCAGCCATTGAGAACCATTTTGAGCCATATCACCGATTGTATCCAGTCATTCGATTTCACTGTCCCGAGGACCCCAACCAGGAAGCCAGTCTACACTCCCCGACGTGGCTGGCTGGCTTAAACTAACTGTTATGGATTTCATATTAGTTTGTTTATTAGGTATATCACACAGTGAATCAGTATTATTTACTGGATGACGTTTCGAACAAAATTTATTGTTCATAATCATATCAATTGTGATCACACGACTTTGACACTTGAGTTTTATAGCTTTCTTTGTTTTCTCCTATATGTCGTAAGGGGAGTGGAATTTTCCAGATATCTGGGACAGGTGATGAATCATTCCTATTACATGTATTTGCAGTTGATTCAATAAACAAAGCTTCTGTTATCAATCTCTCCCTATACCCTGTGACATTAGATTTTAAAAATGTCATCCTATCCCATCCTATGCTGTATGGTTGTGTGTGACTGCATGTAGTGGGTGCTATAGCTGAACTATTCTCTAGATTTCTTATTTTATTCGGGTCAACCAATCTAGATTTTGCTAAGTTTTTATGTTCAGCTAGTCTGACTGCCCCTGTTCTACTAGTTTGACCTATGTATTTGACCTGACAGTCATTGCAGGGTATTAGATAAACTAAATTGTTTTGTTTTAAAGGCTCTACAGGATCCTTTAGCCGACAAAGCTTGTTTCTAATTGAGTTTGTGGGTTTGAATGCCGTTTTTATTGCTGCCTTGTTGAGAATTCTGCGTAAAGCTACTGAGGTTCCTTCCTTGTATGGAATTACTACTGATGATTTAGATTCCTTATTGTTGGTGTCGTCATTAATATTATTATTATTATTATCACTATTATTATTATTATCATTATTATCGTTATCATTATTATTGTTATTATCACTATCGCTACTATCATTATTTATTTTATTTTTACATTTCCTTACATATTTCCTGACTAGTTTATCCGGGTAATTATTAAGTTTCAAGGCTTCTTTTATATGTATCAGTTCTTGTTTTAGATTTTCTTTGGTACTACTTAATTTTTGTGCTCTGTCATTTAAACATTTCACTAATCCTATTTTTACTGACATAGGATGGGATGATCGGAAGTCCAAATATCTGTTTGAGTGTGTGGGTTTCCTGTAAACACTAGTGTTTAACTTCCCATCTTCTTTCCTCCTTACGTTACAATCTAACATTGGGAGCTCCCCTTCCTGATTTTCCAATTCATAAGTGAATTGAATTGCTTCAACCTTCGAGATAATGTGTTCGAAAAATCTATCTATATCTTGTGTTCTAAGTACAGTGAATGTGTCATCTACATACCTCCACCATACTTTTGGTCAACGTGCTTTACCACTTCACTCCTGATAGTACCTGATAATACGCAGTAAACCGAAGGCTAGTGAGACTGCAGTGAGTAGTTCATCCTGAAACAATCAGTATATGCAATGAGTGAAGTGAAGTCATATAATGAGAAAAGAAGTAATATCACTATTAATAAATCAGGATAACTTGTTGGTGTATGTATGCATTAAAAATTCGGTAGTCTTTGAAGTCTGTTATAATAAAAGGTAATAATTTTGCAGATATTGTGACTAAAATTGTTCAGACAGAAAACAAAAGAGGAAAAAGGCAAAAAGGAAGAAAAACCTCTTAATAGGAGGATAGTTTCAGGATGGCTGCTTAAGGAACAACGTCTGAACCTCAATACAGAATGCTGGCTTGGTTGATCGTATTGCCAGAGATTCAACAATATGAAGGAGACATAAGCGGACTGTACATAACAGTGTCGTATGTATGTGGCATATGACACGCAAGGCTGTATAACATCTATGTGATGTCCTGTATCTACTAAGGGTGTTAAAATTGAGCTTTTTATGAATTTAATGTTACTATTTCCGATGAACTTTCTCGAGTTCATAAATGAACCTGCCGAACCATATTCCCTATATAACTTGATCCATAACAGTAGTTAAAACAGTATATGCATGAGAAGGATCTAAGATCAGGTGAAACTTTGACGGCTACTGAAGGATAAGAACAAATGTCCAAAGTACAAGAGGCTGTTTGCCATGTAATCGTATCATCATGAATTCCATACTTAAAAATACTGGCTTTTTGTCCAGCATTATCATGTTCATGTTTGCTAATGAAATAAGTTATCCTAGTTTTCATGAACTTCTCTTAAAATGTCGTAAGTGACATGTTGTTTTTGCTCTACACAATTTTCGGAGGAAAAATTGACCTTCCTCTAAATGCTAAATATCTAGTAAAATTATGCCTTTTTTTTCATTGATACCTAATTAAGAAAATGTGTTCACTGACCTACTTTCTTCATTTTCTTTGAAATATCCTTCTTCTCTTCTCGTTTGTAAAACCTTGAGAAAGTGTTAGAGTTATTTTATTTTCCTTCGTAAGTGAAATAAACCTCTAGGCAAGTATTATTAAAGTAGCTCAAAATCGATTCCTTGCATAGATATTTATCGTAAATATGAGAATCTTTCAGTCTCCCTTATTAATATCATTATGTATTTTGTAGTCCAGTAGATATTCTATTCACTTATTTCTTCAACATAATGTGCGTCGGGGGCACAGCGGTTAGGACTCTCGTCGACCATGCATATGGTCCGGGTTTCGATCCCCTGCTGGCGCGCACCTGATATCAATGGTCGGCCTGCAAAATTTGGGCTACTGATATCACATGCTGAAAGTTCCATACTTGTACCAAAAATACTGTGTGGTTTCAAGCTATGATAAAAAAATGATCTTATGTTCATTATAATGACATATTTAAATTTTTACAAATTCTATTCTCTGACATAACTAGTCGTTTTTTAGCTAATAGTGAATATATACTCTGTACTCGCATACAATGATCCGATCCGATCATTTTTATTATGGTGTGAGTTTTAGTTTAAGTCTGTTTTTCTCAGATTAATATGAATTTTAATCGATGTTTGCTTACTGCTATTATGCTTATCACTTCTGTGATGAATTATAAAAAATATATCCTTGCCAGTATGTTTGTTAGTTACGGATTGACCCTTACTTTCGCCTGTGGTCACGTGTGAATACATATATATATTTATATTTACTATTGAGTAGTGACAAAGTATTCAAAAGTACCAGTGTTCAGACGATTAAATGACATGATATTCTGTCTGTTTGACAGAATAACATTATTATTCGGTGTTTCGTTCTGATTTCCTACCATAACACACATTGCCTCGATGGTTGAGTAAAAATGGAATATCATTTGTGCACGAACATTAGGTTGTGTCAAGTTCGTGTTAAAATATTGATGATGATAATAATATCAAACAACCTGATTAGTGTTTTTTAAATGAATTGAAAAATATTTCACATGTTCAGATTTCATAGACTGACTCATGATCCACTTCACAGGGATCTGTTAATTCTATTTATTTCAAGTTTGACCAAGGATTGATGTCAATTGGAAAACCATTGAAAACCAGCAGGGAGTAATGGACAACTGTTTCGTCCTGGTTTGGGACTCCCAGTAGTAGGCACTCACTAGCTTTCGAACCCAGGACCTCCCAGTTACAAGGCAAGCTCGTATACCATTCAACCACTGGGAACCGATTCAATGTTCCATGAATTCCAACTTCTAACAATTCGTGATTTTACTGCGAACTGATGATGAGCCCCGAACTAGGACGAAATGACTGTGCAGTACTCCCTGCTGGTTTTTAGTGGTTCTCTAACTGATATCAATCCGTGTTCAAACTTGAAACAGATCAAATCCCTACAAATTAACTCTTGAAAATTAATCTGTTGCTCTCTAGTGACTGGCTTCAGGATGAAGTTTCCTGGAGTTCTAGTGAGAAGTCCTGACCAGTGGTGTCTACCCGGTCGGGAGTGAGAACAGATACTCGCTGAGGACATTGGCTAGTGGTCGCGCTAAAATCACGAATTGATAGAAGTTGGAATTTATGGGCCATTGAATTGGGTCCCAGTGGCTGAGAATGGTTTACGAACTTGTCTTGTAACTGGAAGGTCTTCCTGAGTACAAACCCTGGTGGGTGCGTATTGCTGAAGAGTCCCAAAACGAGGATGGAACAACTGTCGGTGATCAAACTTGAAACAAGTCGAATCCCTACAAACTAACTACTCTTGAAAATTCTACTTGTGTTGTAGTCCGTCCTTCTTAATTCAGTTTCTTCCAGCACCTTTTACTAAGTTTACTTAGTATAAATGATACGATGTTAAGTTATTTTCTAAGCTTATCCTTCACTTACTGTTTTGACCTCATCATAGTGCCAATATCTGTCATTAGAAGAAAAAAACAACTTTTTCTTATTGTACCAATAATACGTTTAAGTGGAAATAAGTATACACATATTATTTAGTGATTTTAGTTGATCAAACCGAAACATCTATTCACTCAGCTTTTAACTTTTACAAAATAGTATTTGATTGTACCAAAATCTTTCAGACAACACTTCCATTTCATCATGTAATAGCTACGGCTGAGTTACTACGTCATCCTAAAAAATTATATTTGCATTGATTATGAAACATTTATTTTTTGGTGGTAAGATTAATACATATGATGTCTAACTGGATAGCATAAAGCCATCTCACTAAGCCATTATAACATACTAGTGAATATATGTATCCAAATTCCAGTCCACCAATTGTTTTTTTTTTGTATAGCTTAGCCTACATGCATATCTTATACTGGTAGTGTAAGAATTACTAACGTGTTTAAGCAAGACTGTAAGTCAAAAGTCACCTGACAGCCTAACGACGCATACTTAAGCCGTCTAGCCTTCAGTAATAATTTCGTTTCATAAGGTAATGAGAACCATTTTTTTCAAGCTAGTTGAATCCGCGATTCAGTCTACTTATGTTTAGTATTTTTTTTATCGATGAAACAACAATGTTTTATTTGAAACTGCAATTTTAATCACTTTTCTGTTGAAACCATAAAGTCCAATCTCCCCTTAAACCGTTTGTATGCATTTTTTTTTCTTTTTTTTCCTTCACGTTCCCCAGTGGAACATAGGACTTCAAGCTAGTGGCTTGTAGTTTCTGTAGCAGTGGTGTTTGTTTTTACAGGATGGGGTTGCTGGCCTCATACCCAACCTTTCCTCTTCACCAGCATTATTTCTGGCTTAGCGAGGTAAAGGAGTGGGTTAGCCAGGGATCGAACCCCGGACCATGTGCATGGTCGGCGAGCGTCCTAACCGCTATGCCACCGACGCGTATGCATTATTTAATAGGTATAAAAGGATAATTATTGAGATTATTGCGCTGATTAAGATGATTAATAACAAATTTACATTTTAGTGAGGCTGTCCAGTGGTACCATTGTACTTCTGATAGACAGTTTCATTATTCCTGATCATATAAAGCTAAAACTTGGTCACTGTAGTACAGTATAACTCCATTATGGATAAAATTTTATTTTGATAAAATCACACAGTGTTATGACTATGATGACTACGTTTCAAGCACAAATTATTACTGCTCATAATCATATCAAGACACTACTCACACAACCTTCTTGCTTTATTTAAATGCATGCGTAAAAATTGATTATATATTTGTATAAAAACAACCTACGTAGGATTCTCAATAAAGCAGGGGTTAGGTTGGCATTCAAACCTACAAACTCACTCAGGTTAAAGGACCCGAATTAAACAAAATAACATAATTTACAAAATACCTTTCAATGACTGCGAGTGAAGTCAACTACATAGGTCAAACTAGTAGATCGGGGGTAGTGAGATTATCAGAACACAAGAATTTAGCTAAGGCTAGAATGATTGATCCCCCGAAGATGAGTAATTTAGAAAAAAAAATCAGCAATAGCACTGCGTGCATTAACAGACAACTACACAATAGGGTGAGAGAGAGTCAAAATTCCAAAATGTAATATAGGTAGGTGGAGAGAGAGATTGATCACTAAATCCTGATTCATCGATTTTACACCCAACACATTCAATAGAAGTGACTCAATGCAAATTCCAGAGAAATGGACGATATTATTACCAGTCAAATCAGAGGATAATAAATAATGTTAAAATATATTTCAATTCACATTATAACAAGTTACTTATGTTTACTGTAAAAGTATCTTATTTTCCATCTTATTGTATTTGATTGATAACACTACTATTATTTCCGAATGTACTTTATCCTATATTGATTTTATTCAAATATCTAATCAATTTTTACTCATGTGTATAAATGAGGCAAGAAGTTGTGTGAGTAGTGTCTTGATATGATTATGAGCAGTAATAATTTGTGCTTGAAACGTAATCATCAGTAAATATTACTGTATAACACTGTGAGACTTTATCAAAATAAAATTTTATCCATTAATGGAGTTATTGCTGATCTTAATTGTAACTTTGACTCCAATCCTATTTCCTGTGCTTAATTCCAACCCTTAACCCATTTTAAGTTTAATTCTCACTGAAATCAACCGCCCATTTACCTCACCTACAATTTATCGTTTGACAGACGAAAGAATTTTGTAGTTACGGCGGTTTTTTGTTGTTGTGAAAGTGTATTATAGGGTACTCATATTGATAAAGCAAGTCCATTTTTATATCGTTTATTGATCTCTGTTCTCATTTTCCTGCTATTTGACTAACAGTCTTAAGTGGAATAAATCAGTAAGAATAGCAAATGGAAGAGGCAATCCATTGGAACTCGTATTATATTGACCTAATCCTTTCATGTATGGAATTAAGTATAATAAATTAAAGTGTATAAAGCCTATTGAGAACGTCAGAATTATTTTCTCACAATCTGCATACCTAAGATACTAACAGACAGGGTAACTTTTACTTGATGAGAACCAATCAAATATTAATTCCATATTTTATGCTAGAAATGTTCTATTGATCACTTATTTTCGTTTTGATGTCTATTTCTGTAAAGGCTACATATCTTAACTGGCGTTTATCCTGCAACAGACTGTTGTCATTCTGTCCTTAATATACATGTAATCATGAGTGTTCGTGTGTGATCATCCAGGCAATCATGTGAATGCGAACTGCAATAATCATTTTTTAGTATCTTTATCCTAATCACAGCGACTTTTTTTTTGTTTTTTTACTTAATTGTGTTTGATAGGAAAATGCAGATAAACGTGAAACAAGTCAATAGCCATTTTATCATAATTCAAGTGATTTTTGTTAACATTTGATTATTACCCTTTGTTTTTCTTTTTATCTTAATTATCTAAAGATATCGCATTAAAACGTTTGGGCTCGAGTGCATTTGATAGTATTAGCCAGTATAGACTGAGCACTTGGTTAAGTCATCAAGAGGATTCACATCGTATTGTTTTCTTTGTTTGTGACTGTCAACGGGCTTCCGCTTGGAATCGTATATGTATTCGTCAAGCTGACTGTATACTAGTTTTAGCTTTGGTTTCATCTGACCCAGCACGTCCTTCACCAATTGAAATGGCTTTAAAAAATGATCCTACAAAGGTAAGTGAATTTACTTCATTCATCTGTTTGTTAAGTTACATAGAGTTGTATTGTATTGAAAATACCTCCTTATTATGTGTTTTTTTTCTAAATTAGGTTGCCAAAGTTCTGGTTCTTATGTATCCTCTTGACACGGATTATCCAGAATCTGGTAAGACTGCTATCTGGTTGAATGCTCGACCGTGGATCAGTCAGCATTATCATATCCGTTGTGAACCTCGTGTATTTATTCCTCGATCGAAACGTAATCTTATCAGTTTCTATTCAAAAGTATTTGCTCGTGAAAAACCTAACCCACTATCTGATTTCTCTCGTCTTGCACGTTATTTGGCCGGTGAAGCTGTTGGTCTTGTTTTAGGTGGAGGAGGGGCAAGAGGCTGTTCACATGTTGGATTGATACGTGCATTTCAGGTAAGTAGTCACTTCATATTTTCGTTAAATGTGCTACATTGAAATTTGCTTGCTAATTCTGTGGATTTACATGTATTGATGATAGCAATACTTTTAAATATACGTGTTGTAATGTCATGTATTATACTTCAAGCATGCGGTTTATCATCAGTGTTTTTTTCAACAGTACTAACAGTAGTGCTATTTTTTGACCTCGTATTTTTAGTAAGCAGTTACTGATTGTACTGACAAATCTATTTCATGATAGTTATGCTGGGGTCTAATTTATCTCAACAAAACACTTGGATTTATCAGTCACTCAAACCCCCTGAAAAGTAACACCTGAAGATGTTATGCTTGTTTTGCTTACAGTTACTTTGTATTCATATTTCTTAAGTGAAATATACCGGTATATATAGGTTTAGTTCAAACATCTGTGCACTGTACCTACCTGATGCTACGATTTCAGTTAAAGTAATGAAAATACAGGAAGTTCCCTTTTACTCTTGGAGTGATGAAAGTTATTAACAAGTATCTCATTTTGATTGGACACTAGTAACTAGTCTGACGTATCTAGTCCTTCTTTGGTGCAGACTGAATTCTATCAGTCAGGTATTTGCAATGTGGCCACCATTCTAGGTAGCTCGCCATCACGGTGCACACTGATTTGATATTAGATAGTTGGAGGCAATCGGCAGGAAGCCTTGGACCTAGGTTTCGTGCTAGTTGGATAATATAGATTCCAACAGGACAGTCGAGATATTACAGTCGCTATACTGTTTTGAAGACAGTAATGAACGCATTCACATTGTTGTGATTAATTTTATGTTCTACTGTGGCGTGTGCTACTGATAAGATTTATTAGTAGTATATGAAGACACTTTCATCGGCATAAAAATATCAATTAGCAGGGAGATAGATTTGACGTCAATGACAAAAAATGAACCAGAGTTATGGCAAAACATGAGAGACACTATGAGAAGACAAAGAAACACAATACGAAGGGGTTAGAAGTAGCACAACATGGAATATCTATGCAATTGATGATTTGGAGATAAGGTGTACATAATTTCGCTATATAGAGATACCAAATTCCTAATAAACATTCCTTTACCAAGTCTCTTGTCTTCTACCGTTACAGTACCATAGAGTTTCTTTTGCATAACATAAACATATAATTGCTAACAACTTAACAATATTATTTTGCTAGTGTATCAACCAATGAGAAATATTCAAGGTGCTTTTAGTCCATCTCTTCACTTTTTTGCATGATTTCTGAGTTACTTGTATGTGAGTAGTGTTACTCTGCGTATAGAAATAAACAAAATCATGTGATATGATTACGCATTGTGTACAGAAGTGAAATATTTCAGGCTTTTATGATTTTCAGCACTCAAAACTTATGCCGTGAATATTACTCACTTTGATCTGACTCTTTAGACCCAAAAAAGTGATAAGTCAATGCAGAAATCTCTTTTAAGACAATGCATTGACTGGAACTTGAAACTGTGCGATACTTTAAATACACATCTTATATTTTATTTATCAGCTCCCAGCTTTGTATTTTTTTCTCTTGAAAATCAACACTATTTTGTAACTTTGTAACTGATGTTTTCAATACTGACTGTATTTTATAGTAAGGTAAAGAACTTTGACTCCTAACTGATAAATCAACGCCACATCTAACATGTATAAACACTATTCAGTACGTTTAATTCTCAGAAGACGATTGATATTAGTCCATTTGAAATCTGACTACGGTAGGCCGTTAACAGCTATGGACTTTTAGTACTTTATCAAGTGTTAGTTCGCAGGGATTTGATGTGGTCACAGGTTTAATCATGAGGTGATATCAGTTACAGAACCATTGGAAAACCAAGGAGAAGTTAGAATACGTGGACCAATGGATCGGGTCCCAGTGGCGGAATGTTTTACGAGTTCGCCTTGCAGTCAGAAGGTCCTGGATTTCGATCTGATGAAGAGTCCCAAACTAGTACTTCCTGGCTTTCGTGTACTTTTCAGAATGATTTTCTCACACCAACACTTTGTTCTCATAACCTTGTTCATGGAATCATAGTGACTGTACTTGTTTTATAAAACAATCTTCTTTGTAATACTGAAAATTTACACAAATTTCATGATTTCGTTTCGTATATAGAGGCACCCAACTGTGAAAGCTGATGAGTTGTCCATTCCATGTCGGTTTTCTGTGAATGGATCTTTTGAGTGTCCCATCTTGTTCGCGTCTTGCTAGTTGCACGTCCAGAAAAGATATTGTTGCGTTGGACTCCTTCTCTAGTGTGAACTGGATTGCTGGATGGCAACTGTTGAAGAAGTCCAATATGTTCTCCAAATTTTCTTCATTATTGGCGATAATAAAAGTATCGTCGACGTATCTCTTGTAGAACCCGAAGTTATCTATTGTCTTCTTTAGGTGTGTATTTTTTAGTTTTGACATGAAAATATCTGCAAGCAGCGGGCCGAGTGGTGAACCCATAGCTATACCATCTTTTTGTCTATATATTTCATTATTGAAAGTGAATTGGACGTTCAGAGTACATCTTAATAGGAGTTCCTTCAAATAGTCCGTGGGTATACCAATGTTCATCTCCTTTGAATCAATATATTCACATATAAAGCATATTGTTTCGGTTAGTGGGACGTTTGTAAACAGTGATACCACATCTAGTGAGAACATGGTTTGATTGGAAACGTTGACGTTTTCAATGGAATTGACAAAATCGAAGGAGTCTCGAAGTGAGTGGCGAGAGATTTGCTTTCTGACTGGTTCTAGTATGTCTACTAGCCATTGTGCTGTACTATACTCTGCTGTACTTCTGTACTGAAGGAACTCCTATTAAGATGTACTCTGAACGTCCAATTCACTTTCAATAATGAAATATATAGACAAAAAGATGGTATAGCTATGGGTTCACCACTCGGCCCGCTGCTTGCAGATATTTTCATGTCAAAACTAAAAAATACACACCTAAAGAAGACAATAGATAACTTCGGGTTCTACAAGAGATACGTCGACGATACTTTTATTATCGCCAATAATGAAGAAAATTTGGAGAACATATTGGACTTCTTCAACAGTTGCCATCCAGCAATCCAGTTCACACTAGAGAAGGAGTCCAACGCAACAATATCTTTTCTGGACGTGCAACTAGCAAGACGCGAACAAGATGGGACACTCAAAAGATCCATTCACAGAAAACCGACATGGAATGGACAACTCATCAGCTTTCACAGTTGGGTGCCTCTATATTCTTATGAAAGGTGGTCTCTTTTTGTCGATAAATCTTTCAAATATATAATCTGAGTATATTAGGTTTTATTTCAGTTTTATGAAAGAATTTTTTTTGGTGCATGCGTATTAATGAAGGCGATTCAAATTTTATGAGTATAAGCATTACTAGTAACTGTAACACCTTTTCTACTGATGCTTACTCAAAGTAGATTTTTGTTGTCTACTTGTAATGATAAACATCATCGTATTTCAAACGGAACTCTTCTCGTTTGTATTTGCTTTCATTTCTGATATAGGAAGCTGGCATTCCAATTGATTTAATTGGTGGTACAAGTATTGGTGCATTTATGAGTGCTTTATGGGCAGATGAAACACGTGTTGCACAATTTACACAGAGAGCTAGAAATTTTACCAATTGTTTCAATTCTATTTGGAATAAAATCAAAGATTTCACGTATCCAGCCGTATCTATTTTTTCTGGTAAGAGTTTTGTGTAATCTCTACAGTTATCTTTCCATTTGTAGACTAATTATTATTATTTCCTTTAGTTCCTAGAGGAACATAGGGCTTCAGCCATGCGTCTCCATTGCGTTCGATTCTCTGCTAGAGTTTTCACCTGGCTCCAGGTCTGCCCACATGCTTTCATCTCCTCTTCACATGATCTCCTCCAGGTCACCCTTGGACGACCAACTCGCCGCTTCCCTTTCGGGTTCCACTCGAGGGCTTGTCTAGTGATGTCACTTGCTGGTTTCCTCAGAGTGTGGCCAATCCATCTCCATTTTTTCCTGCCTATTTGTTTCACAATGGGTTCCTGGTTGGTTCGCTCCCAGAGATCTTTGTTGCTGATCCTTTCCGGCCATCTGATCTTGAGTATTGAGCGAAGACATCTGTTAATGAAGGTCTGTAGCTTGTTTGAGGTGCTCTTTGTGACACGCCAAGTCTCTGATCCGTATAGTAGTACTGACTTCACTTCGGAGTTGAAAATCCCGATCTTATTTTTGACGCTGAATGATGTTGTCCTCCACACAGACTTCAGAGTAATGAAAGCTTGCCTTGCTTTCCCGATCCTTGCTTTGATATCCTCGTCAGTTCCGCCTGTAGTTGAAACAATGCTTCCCAAGTAGGTAAAGGAGGTAGTTTCTTTCAGGTTTTTTCCATTTATGCTGATTACTGTCTGTTGTTGTTGTTGGTGTTGGCCAGGGATCTTCATCACCTCTGTTTTTTCTATGTTCACCTGGAGTCCTATCTTTGATGCTTCTTCTGCCAACTTGTTACTTTTCACTTGCATATCTTCCAGTTTGTGGGAAATCAGGCATATATCATCGGCGAAGTCCAGATCCTCCAAGTTCTTTGTGTGAGTCCATTTTATGCCTGTTTTCTCATTGCCCGCTGTTTGTCGCATTATCCAATCTACTGCAATCAGGAAAATCATTGGCGATAGTAGGCAACCCTGTCTTACTCCTGTCTTCACTTCGAAGGATTCCGTGAGCTTCCCGTTGTGGATTACTTGGCATGCAGCGTTGTCGTACAACTGTTGGATGAGATGTATAATTGTCGGCGGCACCCTGTAGTAGCGAAGTAGTTGCCAAATCACCTCTCGATCGACGCTGTCGAAGGCCTTTTCAAAGTCGATGAAGTTGAGATAGAGAGGTGACTGCCATTCCAAACTTTGTTCAATGATGATCCGTAGTGTGGCGATTTGATTAAAACATGACTTGTCACTCCTGAATCCAGCTTGTTCTGGTCGAAGTTTTTCATCCAAGGCTTGTTTGATCCTTTCCAGGATGATGCGGCTTAGTATTTTGCTTGGGATGGAAAGGAGCATAATTCCGCGCCAGTTCTTGCATTGACTTAAGTCTCCTTTCTTTGGTAGTTTGAATAGGTATCCTTTCTTCCAATCCTCGGGTACTTTGCCTTCTTTCCACACCTTCTCCAGTAGTGGCGTCATCAGGTCTGCTGTTGTCTCTGGGTCGACTTTCAATGCTTCTGCTGGGATTCCATCTGGTCCTGCTGCTTTCCCAGCTTTCAGCATCTTGATTGCCTTCAGGACTTCTGATTTCGTCGGGGGGTTGATGTTCACTGGTAATTCTGCTTCCGTTGTTGGTATTGTTGGGCGCGTTGTAGGTGGCGGTCGGTTTAGTAGTCTTTTGAAGTGTTCAGCCCAGTGTTTCCTTTGCTCCACTTCTTTGGTGATTGACTTTCCATTTTCATCCTTCACTGGCTTAATTTGTGACGAATTTTTGCCTGAAAGGTACCTAGTTGTTTGGTGAAGTGTTGCGAGGTCTCCTTTGCCTGCAGCTTGTTCTGCTTCATTGGCCATGGCTTCATAATACTTTCTTTTGTCTTCTCTGGCACTCTTCTTTACTCCTTTGTTCAGTGTATTGTAGCTTACATTCAACTCCTGTTTCTGTTGCTCGTCGGTGCACTGCAGACTAATATTTTTTATTTATTTTGATTACATCAACCGTCATTATTTATTGATTTGATTTTATTCCCTTTGCGTTCTGAGTGGAACGTACGGCCGCAGACTTTCACTTTTCAGTTTTCAGCAGCAGTGGTGTTATTCATTTTTACGCAGTGGGGTTGCCATCCATAAACCCAACCTCCCCTCTTCACTAGGCTTATTACCGGCTAAGCGAGGTTTAGGAGTGCGTCGGCCGGGAAGCAAACCAGGACCACGTTGGTTACATCCGGAACTAATCTGCAAATTATTTCAGTGAATTTTAGATTTCCCCGTCGATTGATTGGACCAATGTACTCGGTCTCAGGTTGACATGTCGGCTTCTTGTGCAGATGCCTCGACGATGTCTGGGCATGTAATTAGAAGTTAGTTGGTGGATGGTGACTAGCAGTGGAATCCAGGATGCGCATTTCGTCCTGTTTGGGACTCGTCATCTGGATGTACCTGCATTCCCCAATGAGTGATCTAGTGGATAACGCTTTGGCGTTTGAAACTATGGGCACTGAATTCGAGCCTCGGTGGGAACATCATCACTCACTGGGGAATGCAAGCACATCCAGATGACGAGTCCCAAATAGGACGAAATGCGCATCCTGGATTCCACTGCTAGTCACCATCTACCAATTAAATTCTAATCTGCAAATAACTACTATTACTGTCTTACTGCTGAAAATTATTCATATTAGCAAAGTCAATCACACTGATGATAGCTGATTGTATCACAAAAAATACCATGTGCATAAAAAAACATGCCTACTTAGTTAACCATTAGTATCGCCAAATGTTTACTATACACATTGTTATAATGTGAAGCAATTTCAAAAATTTGTCAACATCCTGTATGCGTATGTGCTTACATCTACACCATATGATAACTAAACATTGATATTGTCTAAAGTTAATATATCTAAATGGTTGTATAACACAGTTGATATCTTTTAATTCATTTCATGTGAATAATGCATTAAGTTACTTAGTGTGCTTTTGCAATGTTAAATATGTTTATGAATATTTCCTTTGTGTAACAGTTCAGTGTAGACGATTCTGTGTTTTATACTTACAAGTATTGGTTTTGTAAGGATTTTGTTTGATTGCATGGAGGATTTCATCATGAGCTGACATCAGTTAGAGAACCACTGGAAAACTTGGGAGTACTGGACAGCTGTTTCATCCCAGTTTGGGACTCTTCAGCAGCACGCGCTCACCGGGATTCGAACCCAGGACCTCCTGGTTACAAGGCGAGCTCGTAGACCATTGAGCCACTGGGACCCGATCCAATGGTCCTTGAATTCTAACTTCTGCCAATTCACGACATAGCGCGACCATTTGGCAATGTCTTCTTCGATGAGTTACTGCCTCATCTTCAACCTGCTGTACCCTACTGGTCACGGCTTCCCACTAGAACCCCAGGTTAACTGCCTGAATAAGGCCAGTCACTAGTGAGCATCAGATTAATTTTCAAGTATTGGTTTTGTAGGGATTTTGTTTGATTGCATGGAGGATTTCATCATGAGCTGACATCAGTTAGAGAACCACTGGCCCTATTCAGGCAGTTAACCTGGGGTTCTAGTGGGAAGCTGTGACCAGTTGGGTACAGCAGGTTGAAGATGAGGCAGTAACTCATCGAAGAAGACATTGCGAAATGGTCGCGCTATGTCGTGAATTGGCAGAAGTTAGAATTCAAGGACCATTGGATCGGGTCCCAGTGGCTCAATGGTCTACGAGCTCGCCTTTTATACTTACCACAGATATCTCATTCTTCACATCTGAACAAATTAATTAACTATCTTACTAATACAATATACAAATCTCGTACTTCACAATTAAGCTTATTTCATTAACAAATAAATTTTAGATAGTTTAGCAATAATAAAATTTAAATATGATGACGTCATTTACATTCCATATATTATGCATATTTATCTCTTTTTTTGATGATATGATAAAAAACAAAATAATTTTTAAGAATCATCTTACTTTGCATGAAATAATAGTAACACATTTATTAATTACAATTTTGATAGAATTTATTCTACTGTGAATATAATTTTTAAGAATAAGAAAAAAAACAGCCCAATTTCTAATATTCAAGTATTGATTAACAGAGATTTGATTCACGTCAATATTGATCACAAAATGATTCCAGTTAAAGAACCACTGAAAATCAAGATCACAAATGATACTCGCTGCTGGTGGTGGTGGTGGTTGCACTTTATGTACGATGAACTGTCAGGAGTTAGAATTGATAGATAGGCCATTTGATTCCTTCCCAGTGTCTGGCTGAATTGTCGACAACCTCTATACAGGTCCTGGGTTCGATGCCTGGTGGTGGGTGTGTACTGATGAAGTGTCCCAGACTAGGACGAAACAGCTGTCCAGTGCTCCCTGGTTTTCAGATGAAGTCAGTTGGTGATCAAACTTGTAATTCTTAATACTATTATTATTATTCCCTTGGGTTCCTAGTGGAACATAGGGCTTCAACTGCACGTCTCCACTTGCTTCTGTCTTCTGCTGTACTTTTCACCTGCGTCCATGTTAATCCATACTGTTTCAGCTCCTCTTCACACGATCTCCTGCATGTCACCCTTGGACGTCCTACTCAAGGGCCTACGTGTGATGTCACCCAGCGGCCTCCTCAGAGAGTGCCTAATCCATCTCCACTTTCTCCTGTATATTTGTTGAGCGATTGGTTCTTGTTTTGTTTGTTCCCATAGTTTCTTGTTAGTGATTCTTTCCGGCCATCTGATCTGGAGCATAGAACAAAGACAGCTGTTGATAAAGGTCTGCAACAGGCTGTTGAAAATATTCTTTGTGACCCGTCAACTTTCTGATCCATCCGTATAGAAGAACTGACTGACTTGACGTTTGTATTGAAAATCCGAATTTTGTTGTTGATGCAGGCTGAGTGACGAAGATTTCCAGATTGGTTTCAGGTTGATGAATGTGTTTCTCGCCTTCCCTATTCTCAATTTGACATCCTCGTCCGTTCCTCCTGTAGTTGAGACAATGCTCCCTAGATAAGTGTAATTCTTAATAGATATATCCTAAATACAATAATAGTGTTGAGCATTGCTAAGTACTTATCATTAAGGGAATATTTTGCCAACTAAATGTAAACTATGCTGCAAATTCTAATAATATTTATACAGTTTGATTGCGGTAATAAATTGATTGATGGAAATTAAAACAAAACAAAGTGAAAAATATTCTTCTAATTTAATGGATGATGAGTGAATGCGAAATGTTTATCTGCTGCCATGTCAGCATTCGAAAGATCGGCTTCTGGACTACTGACGTGACGCTATACCAGTTAAGTAATACCACTCACCCGCAAAACAGCTCATTACTTCACTACAATAGTCATGCCTATGTGAATGAATAATACATAACTGTCTGTTTATCACCGCAATAGTTGCCCAGTGGGGTGGTGTTCTACTGTTTATTCTGATTCAGTATAAGCAGGTTGAAAATCTGGCCAGCAGTTTAATTCTAACCATAGGCCTTTGAATAAATAATCTGGTATTCTTTTATATAATAAAAAAATTAAAAAGAAACATCTCACTAAGATAAAAGAATAAATATAATTTAGATAACGTTATTAGAAGACGGAGTTTATCTTTGTAAAAATACGTGATCTATTTGCACAATATATTTCTAATAATTGGATCCTACATTTATTTATCAAGCAAATTTATATGAAAAACAAAAGATCAGTTAAAATAAGCAGAATAAGAAGGGATTTAAGAACAAGAAGGATTATAATTAACACTACTTTTAGTAATTATTATTATTGTCTCCTTTAGTTCTTAGAGGAATATAGGGCTTCAGCCGCACGTCTCCATTGCGTTCGGTTCTTCGTCAACGTTTTCACCTGACTCCACGTCTGCCCACATGCTTTCATCTCCTCTTCTCATGACCTCCTCCATGTCACCCTCGCACTGACTACCGACTCGCCATTTCCCATTCGGGTTCCGCTCGAATATATTATCCAATAAAGAACAAATTGTAGGCCAAAGGTTTTGTACACACACATAGATGGAGGAGGCTTCTTTTCATGGATAGATATCGTCTCAGTTTATCGAAGGTCCACAGTTCAATAGCAAAACGCTTGATGGATATGAATTAAAAGATTGAATATCAAAACAACTTTCAACAGATTTTTGTATAAAAACTGTCAGGAGCGCATAGTGAAATACTCTGGGATGATAATTATCCGTGAAATTAGGCCTACCCTATATATGTGTACAAAAACAATTTATTATTTACCACCCACCTTTGTAATCTTTATTTGATAATATTACCAAAAGTTTCTGTTAATTATTCTTCTTCTTATTCTTGAATACCTTATAACTTCGTTTTTCTTTTAATTGGCCTTTATTTTTTGAATAAAGCAAGAAAAGTAGTTTTTGCGGAATAAAATGGCACCATCATTTATTCCTTTGGCTTCTCATCAGCTGCATACAAGCCAAAAGTCATTATAAGTTACTCATTATCTTACGGATCTCTCGTCCTTACTACGTAACTCCTTTACCTTTGTATGCATACATTTGCATCGTTTAAATTTAAACTCCCTGTGCAAAAACTACATAAGGATAATTTTCTGAACACTGTTCACTAGGTCCAGAACCTCCTGTTAACTGACATCATGTAAAATTTGCAAGTACGTTTAAGTTGTCTCTGTACATAAATTTAATAATTTATTTAGACTGTACACAGGTGAGCTGATGAGAAGCCAACGAAATAAATGATGGTAGCATATTATTCTGCAAAAACTGTTCTTGCTTTTCCATATAAAGTGATCTGACAGGTAAATATGTGATCAGATTTTTCGAAATGTGTTGCGCAAATGAATGCATCAAATATTTTAGGCCATTTCCGTCTTCTAATAACGCTATTCAAATTTACTAAAGAGACTATTTATTTTAAGTATAATTTATTCATATTTAAAATTTCTCTTTGTTGGTATAAGATGGTTGGAGGCGATCGGCCAAATGAAGCCTTGGACCTAGGTTTCGTGCTAGTTGGCACTCATCAGCAAGCCGTATCTGCAACCTCGAAGGGATTGATGTCCCTTCTGAGATTCGAACCCGCGTCATCTAGTGTTACAGTCAGAGACGTAACCACTGAGCTATTCAGGCTCGCGACTAACCTCCTGTAGGACTGTATTGGATATTTCTGATTGCAAGCATGACTGATAGAGTTCAATCTGCACCGAAGATAGGACTAGACACATTACGCCAGCTACTGACTAGTGTGCAATCAAAAATAAATTTCTCTTTGATGTATCTGTCCGTATTGATCAGCTTTAGTTTGAGGTCCATATACCAAACTGAGTCCTATAAAAATGCGGTCAGACATCAATGGGAAATCACAAACATTAATTTCAAATCATACGCGTTGTACAATAGGCGGCTGTCATACATCAGTGGTCTAGTTGGTAACTCTATGGAGTTTGGAACGTTTGGTGCTGGGCTAGGGGTTCCACTCTCATTGGGGGAACACCAACAGTCACTAGGGGGAGCAAGTGCATACAGCCGACGAGTCTCAGATATGATGAAACATACACCCCGCATCCTACTACTACTACTTCTACTAGCCACAACCAAACAAAATAACTTCGTGAACAAATATAATATTTGCATGTTTTCCACTTTGTTCTCATTCCTTTAGAAATCACTTTTCTTGTTTTGGTTCACACAAATTGATGACATTCTTTAATTCATTGAATTAGAATTTGTTTTTGTTCTAAAAATTTGACTATTTTAAAAAAATTGTTGTTCTTATTTTATCATTTTGACTAAATGACTAAATTTTTTTTAATACGTAAAAAGTTTTACTCAGTCAAATCATAAAATAAATAAATGTATATGCACTTTCAACCTTTTGATCAATACTTTTTTATGTTGCTTAATTGTTCAAAAATTCAGAGAAAAAAATTAGCAGTGTTGTATATTCATGTTTGTTGTCAATGTTATGTTGTGTCGTTTTTCATCAGACAAGACTGATTAAACATGCATCATTCATTGTTGATAATTTACATATAAGGATAAAACTTGTGCACTGTGGTACAGTATAACTGGTATACGGTAAATGACTTTGAAAGCCACGTTGACATCAATCTTGTGTTCTGTATCCACAAGATGAGATAGAATAGCGCTGTGAATAGATTTTGTTTGTCCTTTACTTAACCACGCAGGGTGAAGTTCGGAAATCTGATGAGAAATACGCCTAATTGTACGGCTTATGTAACTGGCTCCACAGGAGCAGTTAAATTGGTAGATACACATGGAAGAGGCGAAGTTAGGCAGTTTATCTTTTACTCCCGAACGCAAAATAGGGGTGGTTTTGAAGACACTGAGTAATTCAGCAGCAGGGAATGCTCTTCTTACCGCATTTCTAAGGTGTTGTGTTAGTATCTCGCTGATGTTGTCCCCGAGGAACCGAATTTGTAAGAATAAGGCCTTTTTAAGAACTGTTGGTACTTAGGGCTGCCTTGATTTTAGATTCATGCAGCGATAGAATGCTCACCAAGTAAGCATGTATTTCGAGGTTCGATCCTCACTAAGCCAGTAATAAGATTGGTAAAGAGGAAAGGTTGGGCGTGAGACTAGCAACCCCACCCCGTAAAAATCAACACCACTGCTACTGAAACTTCAAGCCTCTAGCTTGAAGCCCTATGTTCCACTGGGAACGTAAAGGAATTTAAAAAAAACTTGTAATAGATATTAGTAGTAATAATAATCTTGATTTCACTCTGTTCACTTATTTATTACTATTTTCAGGTAAAGAACTCAATCATCAACTTATATCAGTTTTTCATGATCGTCAGATTGAAGATTTTTGGATTCCATGCTTTTGTGTTACAACGGATATAACTAACTGTAAAATGCGTATTCATACTCAAGGTAATTTATTATTATTATTATTATTATTATTATTATTATTATTATTATTATTATTATTAGGGTGTTTTATTTGTTCTCTTCATCAATTATTTAATCGTACTTTTTTTTAAGAACCCATGCGGAATAAGATGTTTCACTTGGAAATTGACTCATAAACCTTTTTATATCTTACGTTACTACTGAGTGACGTTAAGTTTAGAATTGGTAAAGCATACACCCCAACGATTTTAATGCAGCAAAAAAAATTACGGAGACGATAAATGACCTTTCTCATCTCCATATTTAACATCAGCATCTTTTTCTCAGTGTTGTTTCCACATCAGTTGAATCCTGTGACGATCACATGGAGATACTTGTTTTTCATTGAATAGCAGTGTTTCACACTACGATTCCATGTTTCTTATTATTATATAGCTGATGACTGTACCTTTCTTGCATAATCCATGCAAATAGCATATACTGGTAAATAAAAGGCCAGTTTTTATTCATTACCAAAAATCAATGAATCCGCTTTAGTAGTTTTGGAATATGTATATGTATATGATTGTGACTTTATGCTACCATCCGTTTTCTTGCTGCTTCTGCGAATTATGTAGATATTTACTAGACTTTTAGTTTTAATGTCATATCCACCCAATGCTAATGTACATCGGGTCTCAAGAACATCTAAATTGCCGTCTCTCGTAATAGAAATGTTTACAAAGAATATGTACGAACCTTGTCATAAGAATTTAATACAGGAGCAGATGATACAGGAAGAGAACTCATCATGAGTCGAGAGGCTCTTGGAGAAATGAATGAGAACGGAGAATTATTCGCAGACGTCTGTGCTTTCAACGATTTGGTGATCGAAGAGAGCGTGTACAAACACAAGGTTATACACAAAGCAACATGGATTTCACCTTACAGATACGCCACAAACCAGATAGACTTTATCTCAATACTGCTGAAGGAAGTGGAGACGCAGTCTGCTAGATACTAAGTCGAAAGGGAGAGGAGATGTGGGCTCAGACCATCATCTAGTCCAGGAACTTCAATGTGAAGCTGAAATCCTTCAGAACGACTGGAGACAGGCTACAACTCAAGTTCAACATTCAGAAACTGAAAGACAGAACTACAAGCAATGCCTTCACAACAGATCAGAGCAAAGTCGGAGACACTACGTGGCATCACTTAGAAAACCTGCGTGGAAAAACATTGGAACTAATTCTCTGAAGGTGAATGTTCAAGGAAACAGGTAAAACTGTTCTAGGAAGAAATAAGAGACAAAACGAGAAATGGCTCTCGACGGATACCTGGATGCTAATCGAGTAGAGGAGAGGAGGATGGTGAAAGAGAAGATGATTGAATGCAAAGATGAACAACAGAAGGAGAAGCTAATTTCAACAGTATTGACAGAGAAGTAATTTGGAAACTGCTTCAACATTACTGTGTGCACTGCCCAAGTCCTTATCAACTTCATTCAATAGCTAACTATATGACATGCCACGTGCCAGGTGATCCACAATGGAAAACTCAGCGAGGCGTTCGAACCGCAACAACAATGACAACCAGCACCAATCATCATCAAAGGGAGAGATTCAATAGAGGTTACTTCCTTCACTTATCTGGCCAGGAAGCACGGTTTCAACCACAGACCAGCGGAACGGATGAAGGTGTCAAAGCCAGCCAGAATCGGAAGGACAAGATACGTCTTCATCAACCTAAAACCAGTTTGGAAATCTTCTGCATTCAGCCAGTATAAATAACAAGATTCGGATTTTCAACACAAAAGTGAGGTCACTCCTTCTATATGGGTCAGAAACTTGCACTGCGTGTCACGAAAAGGATTTCCAACAAGTTATGGACTTTCATCAATAGCTACCTTCGCCGGCTTCATCTTGAAGATCAAATGGCCTGCCGGCCAGAAAGAATTAACAATAAGAAACTGTGGGAACGAACCAACCAAGAGCCAATCGCTCAACATATATGTAGGAGAAAATGGTGATAAATTGGATACACAATGAGGAGACTGACGACTGACACTGCGCACCAGGCCCTCGAGTGGAATCCCAATGGAAAGTGACGAATGCGTCGTCCTTGGGCGACAGGTAGGAAGTCGTACGTTGAGCAGATGAGAGAATAAAGGCAATCGAGGACCCAGCTGAAGAAGACAGCAGAAAATAGAAGAAAGTGGGGATGTGTTGTTGAAACCCTATGTTCCACTCAGAACCCAAGGGAGTAATAATAATAAATTATAATTGTCATAAGAATTCTTCAAATGTTGCACTGGATTTAAGCGATAAAGCTTACAACCGGTGTTTTACAAGTTCAAGTGTCCCGTTGTAGTTCCCTACTTACTTACTTGTTTGTCATAACTGCTTTTGATTCACTTCAATGGAATCCTGTTGTTTGTTCTTTCTTTATATAACCTTTAACATCTTTGTGAGGCTGCTGCTGAACTTCAGAATTACTTCGAAGACATGACAAATAGCAACATATATAGTAATGTTGATGAGACGTTTTCTTACGAATTTCATTTCTTAGCTTTTGAAAATGAGTTGGCATTATCTTCTCTTTCTTAGCAAATTTATTAAGTTTTAGCCTGTAAATTTCTTTTTCAAATCACATCGGCGGTAAAGTCTATGCTGTTCCTCCATCTTTTTCAGAAGTGTTCATCTTGAGATGATATATTCGCGGAAATCTCAAGTCTGTTTTGTGGTGCCTAGTGGGCAAAGATGTTTTACAGACATTTCACTGATTACTTAGTTGATTAGCGTTTTATCTCTTTCTACATTCATATCTGTTGTTTTCAGTTGACCTGATTTGTCTGTTATTAACGAGTAGCATTTCTGGTTCAATGTTTTTAATCCACATAGATTAGTAGTTTTTACATAAAGGGATTATTGACAACTTTCATATCCTATTCACACTGTGGCACCATTTAGGTTCTGTTTGGCGGTATATGCGAGCAAGTATGACATATCCACCATTGGATCCACCGATTTGTGATCCATATGACGGTGCCTTACTGGTAGATGGCGCTTTTATTAACAATGTTCCAGGTAGTGTTTATTACTGTAGTATATTAAAAAAAAATTCAACCCGCCAAAATGCAAATCATAACCTTATCATGGTGATTAGTATGATTTGTTGTCTGGCTATGTTTTGTATACAATTAATTATTAGAATAGCACCATATTGCCACATAACCTGACAGTGTCCATATTGTTGGCGTGCAGTATTGTCTAATTCGCTATGTTCTTGCATGTGCAACACAATATAGATATATTTAATTATTAAATTTGCTAACTAATCTTGCGATAGGAATATTGCTTTGTAACGGTGACTATAATTATTTCTTTTGAGAGAAAAAAAATGTGTAAATCCTAAGCCTTGTCATCATATTTGCTTTTTTACTTGTAATTGAAGTTTGCTATTACGCATCTTTTCTTCTATTTTTTTGATGCTTGATTTCTCACCTTTCTGTATCTTTGTCCACCTATGCTTATTAAATGTTCACATACACATACAAATAATGCCTATATACATATAGGATCAGCTTGGAGATATGTACGTGCAAGTATGTCATTATCTGGTTATTTACCTCCATTGTGTGATCCGTATGATGGCAGTTTATTGTTGGATGGTGGGTATACTAATAATGTACCAGGTCAGTTATTTTTAAAGCTTTTTCTTTATGGTGAATGAATTTCAGCTTGATATATATAAAAGTTATTTAGAAGAGATTTTGTGATGTCACACTGTAATTTATGCAATATCAAGCAGATATCCTTTTCTAATGATTGCTATATTTTTTTAAATTTAACAATTATGTATATAATTCGGGTGAATACATCGCTTTATAAAGCTATTTTGTCAAAGGTGCAGGTTTGCCTACTTTTTAAAGAGGTTTAGACTTTTTCAATATTTCTGTAACAGATGAGAAAAAGCATACATAACCTTTGCATGAGTACTGTTTTAGTCAGCTTCTCAATGTCTGGCGTTCATTCCTTACAAAGAATTTATCACAGCCTTTAATTACGACTATTTAAATGATACATAACAGTAAAAGAAATATATTTTAAAGTTTGACCACGGATTGATATCAGTTAGGGAACCACTGAAAACCAGGAAGTACTGGACAGCTGTTTCATCCTAGTTTGGGACTCATCGGCAGTACGCGCCCACTAGGTTTCGAACTCAGGACCTTCCGGTAACAAGGCAACCTAGCATACCATTCAGCCACTGGGACCCGACTTCTCAATGGCCAACCCATGAATTCTAACTTCTACCAATTCGTGATATTTAGGGCGACCACTAACCAATGTAGTTATGGTGCGTCTGTGGCACAGAAGTAGATTGCTCGCCAACCACGCATGTGGTCTGGAGTTCGATCCCCTCCCGACTCATTCCTTTATCTCGCGCTAAGACATTAATAAGACTGGTAAAGAGGGAAGGTTAGGTGTGGGACTAGCAACCCCATCCCATAAAAATAAAACTACTGATACTGAAACTTCAAACCTCTAGCTTGAAACCCTATATTCCACTGGGAACGTAAAGCAATAAAAATAGCCAACCAATATCCTTACAATTCAACTCTTGAAAATATATTTTAAAGCTATAAAACTGTGTAAGACTCAAATATTTTGCTTAAAAGGTGTAGTAACTAGTTGTTTAATGTTGTGACTTCAAAAATAAGCTAATTTTTGAAACAATTATTCACTTATTGTTAAACAGTTGGAGTCAGTCGTCAGGATGCCTTGGATACCTAGGTTTCCTGCTTGTTGGCGTTTATCAGCAAGGCGTATCTGTAATCCTGAAGGGGTTCAAATTCTTTCTGACATACTTCATAGATGATAATATACCACTTGATTCAGTGGTGGCTAGAATTTCTGTCCTGTGAAATAAATCAATGGGAAGTTCAACATAACTCCGACAGAAAATAGATCACTTTTATTATTAATATTCTAATAATCATTTATCATCTTCTTAGGTTTCATGAAATAACAGTGAATTGTCTTCATTCACAGTACTATACAATAGGAAAGTCAGTCGAAATAGAAAGAAGTTTCTGCTAAACGTATTTATCTTTCGGTTGACATTCATGATCTCTCTTCACTTTTATAGATACTATAAACTGATAGTATGACGGTGGATGACGAGATTTTGTAAAGGAATGTTTATTTGCAATTTGGTATCTTGATATAGCAAAATTATCTTCAACGCACAATTTGCACAGATCTCCCGTTTTGTGCTACTTCTGGCCTTCATATTGTGTTTCTTTGTGTTCCTTTCACGTCTCGCATGTATCTCTGCAACGCTGTATCATCTGCTTTGTCTGATATCAAATCTGTCTGCCTGCTACTTGATGTTTTTATGCCGATAAACGTCTCTGTATATAATACTGATAAATCGTATTAGTAGCACACACCACAATAGAAATGTAAAAGTAGGAGTGTATTATTCTTGTCGATACTTCACCAGCCATTATGGCATCCATCATGCTTTACGCATTTCTGAATATGATATGTATAGATATGGTGCTTTGGATTTTAACACTTGATTTTCAGCTAGTAGACTGTGTGAGCCCAAATAGTGTAGCGACCAGATTTATTCGATTATCGTCTAAACGCACGAAACTGATCTCTACGTTCTACTGTATAGTCGACAAAACTTCGTTGAGACACGCGCTATCACGAAATGTTCCAAAGGCACGAAAAAGACGATTATTCTCCAATATTTTAGCGGTTCTATTAAACAATAATAACATCAAACTCAAAATTACCTCAACAGTGCCATGAGGCAGCTATACAGGCAATGTATATTTATAAATGCAAAACAAGTACTTAGAATCAAGAAGAATATTCCCAGCCAGTTGGGATCAAGAGCTCTGTCCACAAGAATCACGCACCAAAGCTTCCCGGGTCAGAATGACCTTCAAGACAAACTCATACAAACGTATATCGTTAAACAACACATTATCAATGTACACACAACCACAAAGGACAAAGGCTAATAATTAAATATCAAATATCAAAATGTGGTGTGCAAATGTGAAATTAATGGTACATAGTCTAGGGGAAATAGGTATGCTAATTACCGAGTTAATTAAAATGTCTAAACAGATCGTTCAGGAGGGATTTTCCGAACAATTTGTCCATTATACAAATTGTTCACCAGTTACTTCAACCTAAACACCTGGTTATTGTGTATCATCAACATGCACACAATATATGCCTTGTATGTGGAAAGTCTATTCCAGGTAAATTAGGATATGCATCCCAAGATCGCATAATGTGAATGTCAATAAAATTAGCATATTTAAATAATCACACGTGCTAAACAACAAGCTGAATTTATTACGTAAATGGAATATTCATGAATAATCTCCGTCTAGGCATTGATGAAAAACAAACAAACAGAACAAGTAGTTCAGCAAAGAGGCTCTTTCAGTTGTACAATCGCACTTATATACATAAATCCGATTGTATAGCTAAAGAAAATGAGTTCTCTAAGTCTCTTTGCTGTGACCTACTTGTTTTGTTGATTCAGTAAGTGGAATACTTTAGGTTTAGCTCTATTATTTGTTTTTATCAGTTAACCACACGTCTATTAAATGATCTATCTTTAATTTATATAAGTATTATGTTTCGAGTTGATCACGGATGATATCAGTTAGAGAACCATTAAAACCAGGGAGTACTGGACAGCTGTTTCATCCTAGCTCTTTGGGAATCATCGGCAGTATGCACCCACTGGGATTCGAACCCAGTGGGTGCATACTGCCGATGATTCCCAAAACTAGGATGAAACAGCTGTCCAGTACTCCCTGGTTTTAAATGGTTCTCTAACTGATATCAGTCCGTGATCAACTCGTAAAAACATAACAAACCTTTACAAACCAACTTAGAAAAGTATTATATTGCCTACATGTCTTATTCTTTAAATGTCACTAGCTTATTTTAGTAGTGTAATAATGTGCGCATAATGTGTATTCTGAACATTTATAAGAAATTTTATGCTTGCAAACGTTATACATATGAATGTGTCAGGAAGAAAAAAACACAAAGATTACTTTACAGTTGTTAAATTTTCGTCATCAACCAACATCAGTTAGACAGATCATTAGAAACCAGGGAGTACTGTAAAGCTGTTTCGTCCTATCCTGTGACTCCTCATCAGTGCGCGCATCCACAACCTCTCCAGGGATTGAACTCGGAATCTTCAGGTTATGAGACCAAACTCGTTGACCATTCAGCCACTTGAGGTGGAATTCAATGACACCTGAGTTCTAACTTTGCAAACTCGTTCGTGTGTAGTTATTTTGTTTTTTAATTTCAACTTATTGATTGAACTCTCTGAGATTTGTTTCTACAGACTGATTGTATGGTATGTATGAGTTTAATTGCTACAGTGAAGTCAACGCAGAACTCAGATCCTGTGTCTTCCAGGATGCAAAGTGAACTACAGCACTCATCTGTTCGCTAAGTTGTTTAAATGTTACTTCATCTTTTTCTTTTTACTTTCCTAAATAGACAGCATCATTGTTTCGTTATATGGAATAGAAGGGATGATTTGGCGAGATAACCAATTCCTTCTTTCATTATTTGGATTGCACCGCTATTTTTATTTTGAATGATTTGTTGCACTAATGATTGCTGTGAAGATTGCTATTACTTAACTTTTTTTTCCCCAACTAACATCTTTCAAATACTTTTCGATCGCTTGTCATAATCTAAATGCCAAGTGGATAAAGATCAGATTTATACCAAATGAGAAATGAAATCCTTTTCGTACATGTTTTCAAGCCAATATTTTATTTACTGAAACATTTAACAAAGCCAACAGTATCCATATAGTGTTCAAAATCCAGTTCACTATTAGTCTTTTCTGTTTAAACAGTCTAGCTGCATGTGGAATAGAGTTAGTCGAGATTAGTATTGTGATTATTATTTAGGGTTGAGAGTAGTCGATCGGCAAACCATCACATTATAAAGGTGATTATTAGATTCTGATCAACATACTGGAAGCCACACAACTGTAGTGGTTACTATTATGCACCTAATTCATGTATATAATAATAATAATTTATGTTTGTTACACTAAAATTAGATTAATTAAAGAAGCATTTATATGTTTCTGATCGAAACTACATATCTATAGGGACCCATTTCGAAAGTGTATAGATGTAAGAAAAAAGTAATAATCTAGTGCTTGATTTTCTTGAGAATTTCGCAGTATAAAGCCATATTAGATTAGCTTGTTCGATACGATACAATGTCATTCATTCAAGGACTCTTTGAGCACAATTTCTACGTTCTTGACGTGAGCATAACTGTAAATTGCATCAAATAAACTGACTACAAAATGAAACCATACTGTTGATATTAGATGGTTGGATGCAATCGGCCACATGAAGCCTAGGTTTCATGCTATTTGGCAATTATCAGCAAAGCGTATCTGTAATCCTGGAGAAATTCATATTCCTTCTGAGATTCGAACCCGGGTCACTCAGTAATAGTAATAACGAAGAACAAAACAGTTCAACTGGAAATCATAAGTCACAAGGAGTGGATGCATCTACACCAGCCATTGAGAACGATTTTGAGCCATGTCACCAATTGTTTCCAGCCATTGGTTTTTACTGTCCCAAGGACCCCAACCAGGAAATCTACACCCTCCTACGTGGCCTAGACTAACTGTTGTAGATTTGATTGACTGGTGCCATGTTTTGGTTTGACCACTGGTAGCTCTTTTCCAGCCTGACCCTATATCAGCTAACATTGCCCGTCAGTCGAGGAAGTCGATGACTAGGCATACGTAACACATGTCCTAACCATCTCAGTCGATGTAATTTCACAGCCTCGTCTATAGATTTCCCCTCCTTACCTAGCACTCGACCGATGCCTCACCTCCCACTTCAAGCGGGAGATAGAACGAAGACACCTATGATCAAAGACAGCTAATCTTTCAATGTCTTCCGCTCTCAATGGCCAGGTCTCACAGCCATAAAGGAGGACGGAGCGAACTGTTGAGCAGTACACACGCCCTTTGGTCGATAGTCGGATATCACGTCTACGCCAGAGACGGCGTAAACTGGCATATGCGAAACTAGCCCTGTGTATTCGTGCTGAGATTTCGTCGGAGATCAACCCGTTGGCACTTCCCAAGTAAGTGAAGCGGTCAACGTGCTCTACCACTTCACTTCCTATTTCTAATCTAGGAATCGGTGTAGTGAAATCCTGCAACATCATCTTACATTTTATAGGGGCGAATCGCATGCCAAACATACGAAGATTGCAGCTCAAAGTGTTCAGAAGACTCTGCATTTTGTCAGCGTCCTCGCCTAGAAGGACTATATCGTCTGCATATACTAATCCAAAGAGATTATTCCCTGGTAGCAAGTCAATCCCCAAGTCTCTGAAGTGTGTTAGGGTGAAGTCCATTAGTACGTCTATGATGAAGTTGAATAGGAATGGGGATAATGGGCATCCTTGACGGACGTCACTAGTCTTCATCACTTCAGATGACAACTCGCCGTAAGCCCTCACCTGGCTGCATGAGTACGAGTAGAGTGCCCTAATCAGTGCAATGTATTATCTTGGCATTCCCTTTACAGCCAAGCATCGCCAGAGAACCTCTCGGTTGACAGAATCGAATGCCGCCTTCAGGTCAAGAAATATAGTGATTGTCGGACGCCGGTAAGAATGCCTATGTTCTAGAATCTGTCGAAGGGTGAAGATATGATCAATAGACCCTCTTCCTGGCCTAAAACCTGCCTGGTTTTCTCGTGTTTGTGCCTCCCGAGCACCCCCTAATCTACGTATGAATATTGAGCCTTGAACTTTAGATACTATATTAGTCAAGCTAATCCCTCTGTGATTATCACAAGAAGACTTGTCTCCTTTCTTGTATATTGGGATGATCAGTGACTTACACCAACCCGATGGGACTTCCTCTGATTCCCAGACGCTGCCTAGAATCTCAGTTAATGCAGAGACGTTACCACTGAGCTATTCGGGGTCTTAAGTAACCTCTTGTAGGACTGTATTGGATACTTTGATTGAATAATATTTAGTAACTAGTGTAATGTGCCTAGTCCTTTGTTTGGTGCAGACTGAATTCTGTCAGTCAAGTTCGCAATGTGTTCACCATTCTAGATAGCTTGCCATCACAGTGCACTTTGAATGGTTGATATTAGATGGTTGGAGACAGTCGGCACCTTGATGGCGAGCCACCTAGAATAATGGCCACATCGCAAACTTGACTGATAGAATTCAGTCTGCATCAAACAAAGGACTAGAAACACTACACTAGTTACTAACTAGTCCCCAATCAAAGAATCTATAATCTAAGGTATTTAATCTCTCTACCCTTACGTCACTTCATTAGCTTTACGTATTTGAACACCTTTGTCTGTGACAATGACATGAACTATGTATGTGGCGTGACAATTTAGAAATGATTCATGATTTTTGTCTCTTAAGTTTTTCATTCTACCGCTGCCAGTCTAACTTCAGTTGTTTATATCATTATTAACTATGAATTTTACACCTTTTTTATAAGAAAAAAATATTCTATTTTTATTTCACTCTGAACATATGACCATTTGTACTGTTTATTGTATGTATTTTTTTGTTCTCTTTCTGTGCAATCAGCTGATATAATGGTGTGTTTTGGCGCGAAAACAATCTTTGCTAATGATGTAGGTGCTGCCGTAGAAACAGAATTAACAAATTATGGTGATCACTTATCTGGTTGGTATTTCTTGTATAATCGATTTTTTGGAGTCGGTAGTTCTGTACTACGCGTAAGTCTATTTTTTTAAAATTTTTATGTGCACTGAATCATGATAAAAGCTTTTGTTATTTATTACTGAGAAAAGAATATATAAGATAGTTTATGTGTAACTCTCGTAAATGAATTATACATATAAGGGGAACAATCCCTTATTATTTCATATAACATTCACTATTACTCGCCTAGTGCTTTTGATTTCCAAGTTTCCCAGCATTATAATATCTCTTAGTTTAAAACTATACAGTGAAGGGAAGAGGCACTCTTAGTGACAAGAAAAAAACCAAATCAAATTCTGGTCACAGTAGGAACAGCGTCTGAACGTGTTCTTTTTGGATACAAAGTTCCGGTTTAGTTGAGCTTATTGCACCAGTTTCAGCTATATGTTTATTTAGGAAGCAAGCCGTACATGATAACGACTTCGGAATTTGATATGTAACTCTAAAGGCTGTGTTGGCGTCGATGCAATGCCCAGTATCGACCAAGTGTGACAGAATCGAGCTTTTATGCATTTGATTTCTCCTTTGCTAAACCAAGCTGGGAAATGTTCTCGATCCCGTAGACGAACCTGCCTAATCTTACTCCCTAAATAACTTGAACAGCTGAAATGGTATATGAATGAAGAAGAGCTAAGGTTAGGTAAGATATCTTTCAGTTACGGGGTGAATATTGGACGGCTACTGCAGAATAGGTACAGATGTGCAGAGTACAAAGTCTTATTTTTCGCCCTGGTTAAACATTACGATAGAATCTCCTCAGAAGTATCTTCCCTGAATTGTAGACGTAAAAATAAAAGCTTTTTCTGCACTGTTGCCAATTCGTGTTTACAACTATTGTTAACCTATGTTGGCTTTAATAAACTTCTCTGGATATCCGTTCTCGCATAGAATATCCCAGATGACCTGAAGTTCTTTCTCGACACAATCTCCGAAGCAAATCGACGTCGATCTAAATGTTAAACACTTGATCAGATTACGTCTGTATTTCATAGGTACAAAGCTAAGGAAGTGCGTATACTGAGCTTTGGTCTCTAGCTTTCTAAATACTATTCTTTTGACTGAACCATCCTCTCTCTCTCACCCATTTCACAATATTTTGTAAGTGAATTCAGCCTTAGCACGTTTATCACACAAATATTAGTTATATGCAATTTATTATTTAATATTTTCTGTATTTCTTTTGTTATAGTAATCGTTAAACTAATCTAATCATTGCTAATAATTACATGTAATACACTTGATTTCCCAATGTGTTTTTCTGGTTGCACAGCTTCTTGCTGCTGTGCTATTCATATGTATTTTTGTGGATAAGTTCCGGTTACCATACTTCTAGTGAAGTGAATCTTTCTTTATGGGCAAGGCCAAAGGTGATTTTGCCACAAAATATGAATCTTAAGACTATCATCATTATTCCCTTTCCTATAATTATAATTGTCTTTATTTCATTGAAATAAGTTGTTGTTTTTCATAGCTTAACCATAGAAATAAAATCAAAAATAATGTTATTGTATAGGGAAAGAAAAAAAGGCTGCATGTTAATCAGATGAGGATTTATTGATTGGAATAATTAAGAGACATTATTTGTTCCTTTCTGTATATGTCATGTACATAACACACATTAGTTGAATTTATTGTTATTGTACATAATAAACTAGTGGATATTGATATAACTGATCGAAAATCATTGAACAGAAACTTCTCTTTCCATGCAGTTATCCCCACGCCTGTAACAGTCTATTATTTGAGTAAAGAGATGTGAGACACATTTGATACACAGTTACTCAGAACCGCCCTGGTTTTCAATGGTTCTCCAGCTTATATCAATCCGTGGTCCTACAAACCTATTCTTGAGAATTAATCTGATGCTCGCTAGTGACTGGCTACAGGGCGAAGTTGCCTGGAGTTCTAGTGAGAAGTCGTGACCATTGAGGTTCATCCAGTCAAGTGTGAGGATGGAGTTCCCGCCGATGACATTGTTAAATGGTTACGCTCAAATCACGAATTAGTAGAAGTTAGAATTCATGGGCTGGTCATTGAGGAGTCGGATCCCAGTGGCTGAATGGTATACGAGCTTGCCTTGTAACTGGAAGGTCCTGGGTTAGAAACCCAGTGGGTGCTTACTGCCGATGATTCCCAAACTAGGATGAAACAGCACTGTCCAGTACTCCCTGGTTTTCAATGGTTCACTAACTGATATCAATCTGTGGTCTAACCTGAAACAAATAGAATCCCTACAAATCAATTCTTGAAAAAAACTCAGAAGTAGTTTCCCAAAGATAGAAAGAAATTATATATGCAACAATTAACGACACATCGAAAGTAAGGATTTGAAATTCGATGAAGGCAGTTGAATGTCCACTTCGCAAGTGTGAATTCGGTAAAATTTGCAAAAAAAGAGACATTTAAAAGTGATAATAGTAAAATTAGTAAAAAAAAAATAGAGGCAAACAATTAGAAAGAAGTTTAAGAGCATGATAGAATTTTTTTAAAATGAACTAACCTTTTCTGCACACAGAGTTCAATGTTTGTGTTACGGAATTGTTAGTGCCTCCATCGTACGTACACAAGTATATCTAAGCATATCAGCTTAATTTAAACACAAGTCATAAGATACTTTGGAGTAGTTATCAGCTTTGTGAAATGCATTTTCAGATAAAGAAAAGTTCACCTTCTTAATTCATTTTTGTCAGCCTTGTTTACACTTTTCTTTCTCAGGATCATATTGATTATTGTTATTCTTCTCATTCAAGCAGATATTGTATGCAAATAATACTTGTACAGTTCTACTGAAGTTCTCACATAATTTTTATCTCATCTATAGAGGTAACCCTTACTAGTTTTAGGTTGAAAATTGTCCATTATTATTATTCCCTTGGGTTCCTAGTGGAACATAGGGCTTCAACTACACGTCTCCACTTGCTTCTGTCTTCTGCTGTACTTTTCACCTGCATCCATGTTAATCCATACTGTTTCAGCTCCTCTTCACACGACCTCCTCCATGTCACCCTTGGACGTCCCACTCGCCGCTTCCCTTTCGGGTTCCACTCGAGCTATGGCCTGACGCGCGATGTCACCCAGAGGCCTCCTCAGCGAGTGTCCAATCCATCTCCACTTTCTCCTGCATATTTGTTGGGCGATTGGTTCTTGTTTTGTTTGTTCCCATAGTTTCTTGTTGGTGATTCTTTCTGACCATCTGATCTTCAGTATAGAGCGAAGACAGTTGTTGATAAAGGTCTGCAACAGGCTGTTGGAAATATTCTTTGTGACACACTGGCGAAGTTTCTGATCCGTATAGAAGAAGTGACTTTGACGTTTGTATTGAAAATCCGAATTTTGTTGTTGATGCAGGCTGAGTGACGAAGATTTCCAGATTGGTTTCAGGTTGATGAATGTGTTTCTCGCCTTCCCGATTCTCGATTTGACATCCTCGTCCGTTCCTCCTGTAGCACATTTTTATATTTTAATAACCAGAACTTTTTTATTGACCAATGATTATTCTGCGAATCTTCTAAGAAAAAAGTCACTAATAAAATCTCTTGTTCATAACTGACTAAAGTGCGTGCTAAAGTTGTAATCGTGTCACATGGCCTGTGACCTATCCCTGTATCTGCTGATAATGGATCATAATTGGTGGGGGGAGCTAGAGTTATAGAATATATCCTACTACAACTTTCTGTTAAAGTATTTCACTTGAAAAACCTTCATCGGTTGTCAGAAGTGTTCAGTTACCATATAACAACCATTTGCATAGAATCCTGGATGCCTACTCATGTGTCCTGACTCAAGCCCTCACTTTTGCTGGATTCATAGTTTGGATGGTTCTAAGATTAGATTTAGTGTTATTATTAACAATTAAATCAGTTTATAAGGCTGTGAACCTGAAAGCATCTTAATGTGAAACTCTAGTTGAAGTATCATTATTAGAAAAAAAAGTTAGCGATAACTAAGTTAAGATACAACATAAAAAGCTGTAGTCGTCGAAGTATAAGTTTTTCAACAAGTAACCTGAGATGTTAAAAATAATCGATTTTAATACTTTTATCTAAAAATTGCTTGTAGTGTTTCATGCATGCATTAAACCTTCATGTTTTATTACTTTTCATAAATTTATTCCTCTTCTGTAGGTTTTTCTTGTCTGTTCCTTTTTGGCTTCTGAATACTGCAGTAAATTAACTTGAGAAAGCTTTCTGTAGCATTCTACATTATTTCCATTCATATACTCTGTATTCAGCAATTTTATTTTGGAGGGTTTAGACATTTAATGAGTTGTAATCCCATATTAGATAAGTTTATTTTAAATATCACACAGTGATACAGTATTAACAACTGGATGACAAGGTTTCGAGCATAAATTATTGCTCATAATCATATCAATTTTAGTCACACCGTTTCACAGTTTGTCATATATATATATATATATATATATATATACTTCTTTCCACTTCTTTGTTTCGTTGTCACTAAATTAACATAAAAATAATGAAAATAATACAGAATTCAAAGCCTCTGTAGTACTGCCGTATAAAGAAGGAACGTCAGAGGCCTTGCGCTAGGATTCTCAACGAGGCTGAAATCAGGGTGGCATTTAAACCAACCAACCATCTCACTCAGGGATAAACTTTGTCGGCTTAACGACCCGCCTGATAGATCCAAATAAGAAAAATAATATAATTTACCAAATGCCATGTAATGACTATGAGGTCAATTACTTAGTTCAAACTAGCAGACCGGGGTCAACTAGATTATTTTTTTATTCCTTCACGTTCCCAGTGGAACATAGGGCTTCAAGCTAGAGGCTTGAAGTTTCTGTAGCAGTGTTTATTTTTACAGGATGGGGTTGCTAGCCTCATGCCCAACCTTCCATCTTTGCCAGTTCTATTACTGGCTTAGAGAGGTAAAGGAGTGAGTCGGCCGGTGATCGAACCCCCGACCATGTGCATGGTTGGCGAGCGTCCTAAGCGCTGTGCCACCGACGCACAACTAGATTATTGGAACATAAAAATTACCTAGACCT